ATGCTCAAGTTCAACGTGTCATGAATACCGTAATAATGAAGATGAACTATTTGAGAAAATATGTTTATCATGTGTTGTTTGAACATAGAAGAACATATGAAGACAGACAAGTGTTTGAAATACACAAAGGTAAAATCCTTTGGGGACAACAAACTTTTCAATCTGACCACCAACTCTGAACACTAGCTCAGATTCACCAAAATTTTTACAATATAAAGATGCAGGCTAATTAGATGATTTAAATAAGTGTACACAATAGTACAAATCATGTACACTACAGTACTTATTTATTTGTGTGCACACATACAAATGCTACAAGTACAAGTGCAGTTCGTCAGACACTTTATACAGGTAAAGACTTGAGTTGCATGATTCTATATCCAACTAAAGCAAAAACCTTATCTCAAACGTGAATGTACATTTGTTCCTAAGGTGATCATTGAATTACACTTGTGCCAGTGGAAGTTGAAATGTTTTTGTAAAAATTGTTTATGACCAAATATCGCAGTGTATTGAAAGTGGTTTTATGTATATAAATAAAATAAGGAAACAAAAATTAATCTTTCAGCAGTAACAGGTGATTGGTTGGCATTGACCATTGATTGATGATTGAACTGGCACTGAGGCTGATGGAAAAGTATGAAAATTGAAAACTCTACCTGAAGACATGATGCCTCTTTTGAAAACTATTACAACAAGGAGCACTTCAAGGGATAAAGAAGTATTTATCGATTTCAAGATAGTTCACCATCAAATTTTGCCATATTTATGCCTATTTCCTCCGCTTTGTCCACTAAATTTAGATTACACCACATATATTTCCTCATCATCGGTAGTATCTCGTGGTTTCTTCGTGACCGTACGCCTTATGAACTATAATTATCTTTTATCTGGAGTATTATCAAAGGTCACGTGAACAAATCAAACAACAGCAATGTTTGCCACAGTCTCTAAAAACGATGTGAAAGCTTTTAAAAGAAAAGGATGTGGAAAACACTAAAAAAGCGGCGAAGCTGCCTTTGAACACGTTTACAACATATTTAAACGAGACGAACTTGAATAAACCTTCTGATAAAAACAAATTAGCGAAGGTTTGAAAAATGTTTTATAATGAAAAACTTTAAATGTAATTGACATTATAGCAATTCATGATGATAGTAAGCTGTAAATTCACGTTACAACGACAGCTGTTGAGTACATGTAATCTTAGTTTACATTGTGCCTAGTGACGTTAAACATCATGAGTTGTTTCGTCGACAAGATTTTTTAAAGTTTTGTCGACGAAAGATCATAAGTTCAGCATTCAATGCTATGCCTGTTCTTTCTGTCTGCCCATGAAGGTTAACTTCATTTCGTTTTGAAGTCTAAGGTGGTAAAAGACGCCATTCATTTTTATCACTTAGAATCCACAATTCACCCAAAAATTCTTCGATTTTCCAGATTTCTTTAAAGATCACTTCCTCTGTCTGTATCTTTGCAATCTAGATTCTAAAGAACAAACAAAAAGCTGCATAAAGTCTCCCTTCGCAAATGATCATTGATCAATGGTAAAAACATGGTTATTAGTAAATGAAAAAAACCTGAAGATCTTCCATTATTTCTCCTTCTTCACGTTTCATTTTAAGTTTCTCAATCTGAACAAGTTTCTTTCTTAAACCACGAAGTCGTTTCTCTACTTGTTTTCTTGACATTTCATGAGTGTTTGTGGATGCTGAAGTGGAGTCTGTGTTGGTTTCAAAATCAGATTGTTCGACTTCCTCCTCCTGTCCACGTAAGGAAAATGTTATTGTCAGGGGGGTGAAAATATGATGGTTCTTAAGTTCAAGATCAACAAACACAGGTGGTTGGTATTCATTGGCAGGTATTGGGGGAGACAACAACTATTGATAGGTTAAAAAAGATTGAAATGGCAAGCAGCTCTGTGAAAGTTATGCAAGACCAAAGTGATTGGACAACCACAGATTCGATCATATTTTAACAATGGACGTAACATCAGGCGAGGAGTGAAATAAAACCATTTCTGCTCAAGCATAGCATAAACACAAATTTCATGCTACAAGGCCGTGGCACAAGCGTACATATCCACTGTTTCTCCCCACGTACCGGACCTAATGCTTCGCTCCAGATGCTTTTCTATAGATTCGTATCGAAATTAATGCAGTCGAAAGGTAGCCGAATTTTGTATCAAAACATCGTTACACATTTCTCGAATGTGAGCAAAGTTTTCGTCGCTTTCACCGTTTATAGCCAACACAACTGCTCGATAAAAGCAATTGCCGTCTCCACATACTTTTACTTCTTTTCTCCCAATTGTAACGAATAACATTACAACGAATAGGCATTATAACGGAAATAGGTGCTTTAAATTGAGAATTCTGAAAAATATAACTATTAAAACAGATAAATTGTGGAATGTTTGCCCCCCTGGCGATCCCAGAATGCATTGTAAAAACCGCGCAAATTTAAAGAGAAACTAGCGACCGGCAAAAAACCTCATTGTTCGGTGTTTTACTGAGAAGATTTTGCTTGTACTAAATTTATAAATTTGTTCAGCCAACTTTGAAAAATAAATTATGAAAAGAGAAAACACAGATATTGAACAAGAAGAGGTAAATGACCATATTCAAACAAAAGATGAAAAAAGAGAGAAAGCCATTCATTCAGAACCTGTCGCGAGGAAGCGAGGAAGAAGACGGTTGCCTCTAGTATTATGTATAATTGCCGGTATAGGAATGCTTGTGTTCAGCTTTTATTACAAGGAGACCACAGCGTATACAGAATTAAAGGATATCACTGAAAATACTTTAAAAGCAATCAAAAATGGCACACTTGTCGTCTATGTTGAGGAAAAAGAAGATACGTTTCCAGTGCTGTTCAACATTGTTATCGGATTGCTATCCTACATGTTGGGAACGTTGGTCAATCGTGTTTTTCAGGTAATGGAAGAAATGCGCCAGTTTCGAATTCGTTACAAAAAGAAGATTTGTAAAATTTTGCGTTCTTGTTTAAGTGGAATCTCGTGGGGTGGAGTTGTAGTTCTTTCGGTGATAGGTACTGCGTTCGTGATTGTTGGTCGAATTTGGAGGGGAAAGGAACCAGTGCACATCGAAGATGCCATGACTATAACTTGTGCAATCGGCGTCTATCCACTTGTCGCTCATCTTCTACGTTTAAATGCTCTGTCAGAAGCAGAATTCTCGGAAGTAGTTGAAAAGAAACAACTTTATCCTGCCTATACACTGGCATGGAACTACTATTTTGAAGTTTTGGAAAATCTCTTACCAATAGTCAATGAAAGATTTACGGACCATAAAATTTTATATCAATATAACGAAGATGCAGAAACTGACAAAAGACCAACAAAATGTAAAGAATACATAGATTCAAAAAAACTGATCGTGATTGTTCCACAAGATTGCAGAACTCATCAAAACTTAGAAGAAATTGATTCAAACTTTGAAAAACTACGTGATGTTAAAGGCAAGGGGTACAGTGTTCCTCTTTATAATGTGATACACGGTAACGAACAATACAAACTTCTCCTGTTGTATGTCTCACAACCATTAAACACACTTTATAAGATGGGCGGTGCTGAACGAGTTAAATGTTTGACTGAAAATAATCTTGAAGAGCAAGTGGAACTTTTTTGTAATACTTTACAAGACGAAATCCTCAGAAAACCATTGAACCAAGACTTCAAGGAAAAATGCGTTGTTTTGAAAATAAAGGCTGAATGTGAAAGAAGTTTGGGAAATGGAGGGCTTGTCAAATTGATCATAGAGCGCTTAAAACATGACGAAGATCCTAGTGGTAGAAAACATCATCAACCCTTTTTTGTCCCACCACCACCTCCACAAAAATTTTCTTCGCCAGTGAAACCTAAAGCAGAAAAGACTTCCCCACTAAAACAAGGTATACTCTTCTATGTTCAGTTATGTATATATACATAACTGCTTTTAAGGAGTTGTAAGTTATGCAACCCTAACTCAACCTAAATAAGTAAATGGCGACAGGCTTATCAAGATTATTATTCCATTTATATCATTTTACACACGAGTTGCAAAGTTCCTAACTCTATTATGTGTCAGATTTCCATGTTTTCATTAATTTAACCAAAGTCTTTACTATTTTGTATTGTGCCAGAATTGAAACATCAAATGTTCACTTGTCACTAGCTCATTCTCTATGCATGTAAGATGTCTAAAAATATTCAATCGTTGGTAAGGTCTTTGCTTTTGATTTTCACTGCTCTAGTCACAGGCAGGCACCATGACTGTAAACATACATACATGATAACAATAGTTATTAATTAATTTCTTACCCATTTTTAAAGTTTGTGAGAATGAAGAAATTCATAAAATGCTGAGTTTGCTTGATTTTTGTTAATATTTTTCAGATGAATATTACAAAGAGACATCAACAAATAATGAAAAAGAATCTCCATCAACGAGTGAAAAGAAGACACCCAAGAAGTTAGAACAACAGAAAAATGTTGCGACCAAAGCAAATACAATCACTCCAAAAAATGAAGTGGGCAACAACAGTGAAAATCATTCCTTAAAAGAAGAACGTGCTGATGACAAACATAAACAAACAGAACATGTTGAAAGTCGATCAAGCACTAGCAAGTCTTTGACTTTTTCAACTAAAGCACAAGTTTGTTGTGCAAAACAGCCACAAGCCATTAAGAAAGTGCCTAAAAAGCAAAATTATGTTGTCTACAAAGATGAAGTACAAGCGCTGATTCAAGCCCAATACAAAACAACTCATGAAGATGATAAAGAACAACAAAATAATGTTGACAAAAAACATAAGGCAAACATTAAAAACAATGAAAGCAACGAGAATGAGAACTCTAAAAATCACCCCCTCAAATATAAGCCTCTCTAAAGTTGAAAAAGGATCGCGGATTGAGGAAGAAATTACAGAAGTTAAACAAACATTAGAAGTCTAACAACATCAAAGCAACATTGCTGACAAAATGCTGATGAAGGTTTTGAAGAAGGTTTTGAAGAAATTTTTCATGGAGAAGATATTCATCATTTATAAAAAATATCAATAATGCCTTTTACTTACGGAGCAAACCCTGTTATTTTATCTTGCATTATCCATAATTCCTTTCGTAGTCTGGCTGCTAGTAAATGATCCTTAATGGTAAACCACAATGTATCACAATTGCATTTCATATTTGTAATATAGATTTCCTTTTATCCATTGTCAATAGTTATTTTGTGTATAGCTAATAGGACAAATTGCAAATAAATTCTAGTTGATAAATTTTGGAGTGATATGGATGATGATACTGGTTCAAAGGTTCTGATAAAATACCTGTTTATCTTTTGCCTCTTGCAGTTTTGCTTTCAGTTCTTCAAAAGGACCTAACAATTTCATGTTTTCTGTATGAGAATCCTTACTTTCATTCTTGAGACGATCAATCACACCATCTTCCTTCAACTTCTGAGCTCTTTCCTTGGCTCATTTTTCTGCATGTTTTTGATTCTTTTTTGCAGCCTTGCTCCCAACTTAATTCAAAACAGACAGAGTATTACTACTAATACAATAATAATAACAGCCATTTGATATTTCTATGTAGTACACCAAACATTACCTAGACACCTGAAGATCATAATTGTCAACCAAAATGTTCACAACCATTCTATTTTGAAAAGCAACTAAAAATGGGTTATACAAAAACAAAAAGAAAATCACATTGACTTTTTGATCATGCTCAAGTTCAACATGTCATGAATGCTCTGATAATGATGATGAACTATTTGGGAAAATATGTTTATCATGTGTTGTTTGAACATAGAAGCACATATGAAGACAGACAAGTGTTTGAAATACAAAGTGTACACAATAGTACAAATCATGTACACTACAGTACTTATTTATTTGTTTGCACACATACGAATGCTACAAGTACAAGTGCAGTTCGTCAGACACTTTATACAGGTAAAGACTTGAATTGCATGACTCTATAACCAACTGAAGCAAAAACCTTATCACAAACTTGAATGCACATTTGTTCCTAAGATGATCATTGAATTGTACTTGTGCCAGTGGAAGTTGAAATGTTTTTGTAAAAATTGTTTATGACCTAATATCGCAGTGTATTGAAAGTGGTTTTATGTATATAAATAAAATAAGGAAACAAAAATTAATCTTTCAGCAGTAACAGGTGATTGGTTGGCATTGACCATTGATTGATGATTGAACTGGCACTGAGGCTGATGGAAAAGTATGAAAATTGAAAACTCTACCTGAAGACATGATGCCTCTTTTGAAAAACTATTACAACAAGGAGCACTTCAAGGGATAAAGAAGTATTTATCGATTTCAAGATAGTAAACCAACAAAATTTGCCATATTTATGCCTATGTCCTCCGCTTTGTCCACTAAAGTTAGATTACACCACATATATTTCCTCATCATCGGTAGTATCTCGTGGTTTCTTCGTGACCGTACGCCTTATGAACTATAATTATCTTTTATCTGGAGTATTATCAAAGGTCACGTGAACAAATCCAAGAACAGCAATGTTTGCCAAAGTTTCTAAAAACGATGTGAAAGCTTTTAAAGGAAAAGTATGCGGAAACACTAAAAAAGCGGCGAAGCTGGCTTTGAACATATTTACAACATATTTAAACGCGACGAACTTGAATAAACCGTCTGATAAAAACAAATTAGCGAAGGTTTGAAAAATGTTTTATAATGGAAAACTTTAAATGTAATTGACATTATGGCAATTCATGATAATAGTAAGCCGTAAATTCACGTAAAAACGACAGCTGTTGAGTACATGTAATCTTAGTTTACATTGTGCCTAGTGACGTTAAACATCGCGAGTTGTTTCGTCGACAAGATTTATTAAAGTTTTGTCGACGAAAGATCATAAGTTCAGCATTCAATGCTATGCCTGTGCTCTCTGTCTGCCCATGAAGGTTAACTTCATTTCGTTTTGAAGTCTAAGATGGTAGAAGACGCCATTCATTTTTATCTCTTAGAATCCACAATTAACCCAAAAATTCTTCGATTTTCCCGATTTCTTTCAAGATCACTTCCTCTGTCTGTATCTTTGTATCTTTGTATCTTTGTACCTTTGTATCTTTGTATCTTTGTATCTTTGTACCTTTGTATCTTTGTACCTTTGTATCTTTGTCTGTACAAACAAAAAGCTGCATAAAGTCTCTCCCTTTGCAAATGATCAATGGTAAAAACATGGTTATAAGTAAATGAAAAAAACCTGAAGATCTTCCATTATTTCTCCTTCTTCGCGTTTCATTTTAAGTTTCTCAATTTGAACAAGTTTCTTCTTTAAACGTCGAAATCGTTTCTCTGCTTGTTTTCTTGACGTTAACTTAGAATTTGTGAATGTAGAACAGGAATCTGTGTTACTTTCAAAAGCAGATCGTTCGAGTTTTTCTTCCGCTCTAAGTGAGAAAAAAGTTATTGTCAGGGGCTAAAAATATCGTGCCTTTTGTAAACAAATTTGGAACTTTTCAATCAGTGTTTCCGAATAGGGCACGAAAGTCTTGATCTACAACAACTACATGCTTCATCTACAGCTATAGAGTGTTTGCGAGTGACGTCAAAGCGGCCATATCGAGGGAGTAAATCAAAGTGCGGATGGTCAACAGAGCCTGAAATCAACACAAATTCCTTTCATTATGTGAAATTTCCCCCCAGCATGGCGACTGATGAAAGCACGCTATACTGACTTTATTCACATTAGGGAGGTGAGTGTTGCCCTGAAAAGGTGTCGTGACCTGGTGTAATAACTCCCCTCGAGATTCGCTAAAAGACTTCTTGCGTCTGGATTGCTTTTTATTCAAGCTATCCAACACACAAGAATAGAAAGATTTTTCAAAGACGAAGAGTCGTTTTGTTGGACGCCTTTTAAAAGAATGTGTTGTCACTTCTCCATTTGCATCAAAGTTTTCAATAACCAACCATGCTAGTAACATAACGTAATTTGAGGTTACATACGTTCCTTTACACAGGTCAGTATAGTTTTAAATTACAGAGCAGTCCACACACATTAAATTAATAAAATAGATGAAGTGCGAACAACTTGCTGGCAACAAATTTTCAAGATTTACATAAAAAAGTAAATCATGACAGGACAAAACACAGATTGCGAACAAGAAGAGGTAAACGACCATATTCAAACACAAGATGAAGCCATGCATTCAGAACCTGTCGCGAAGAAGCGAGGACCAAGACGCTTGCCTCTAGTAATATGTATAATTGCCGGTATAGGAATGCTTGTGTTCAGCTTTTGTTACAAAGAGACCACAGCGTATACAGAATTAAAGGATATCACTGAAAATACTTTAAAAGCAATCAAAAATGGTACACTTGTCGTCTATGTTGAGGAAAAAGAAGATACGTATCCATTGCTGTTCAACATTGGAATCGGATTGCTATCCTACATTTTGGTAACGTTGGTCAATCGTGTTATTCAGGTAGTGGAAGAGTTGCGCCAGTTTCGAAGTCGTTACAAAAAGAATATTTGTAAAATTTTTCGTTCTTGTTTAAGTGGAATCTCCTGGGGTGGAGTTTTACTGCTTTTGTCGGTAGGTAGTACGTCCGTGGCTGTTGGTCGAATTATGAGCGGAAAGAAACCAGTGCACATCGAAGATGCCATAACTTTAACTTGTGCAATCGGCGTCTATCCACTTGTCGCTCATCTTCTAGGTTTAAATGCTCTGTCAGAAGCAGAATTCTCGGAAATGGTTGAAGAGAAAAAACTTTATCCTGCCTATACACTGGCGTGGAACTACTATTTTGAAGTTTTGCAAAATCTCTTACCCATAGTCAATGAAAGATTTACAGAAGATTTACAGAAGAAGCCACGTCGAGATAACGAAGATGCAGAAACTGACGGAAGACCAACAGAATGTAAAGAATACATAGACTTAAAAAAACTGATCCTGATTGTTCCACACGATTGCAGAACTCATCAAAACTTAGAAGAAATCGATTCAAACTTTGAAAAACTACGTGATGTTAAAGGCAAGGGGTACAGTGTTCCTCTTTATAATGTGATATACGGTGACGAACAATACAAACTTCTCCTGTTGTATGTCTCACAACCATTGAACACACTTTATAAGATGAGCGGTGCTGAACGAGTTAAATGTTTGACTGAAAAACATCTTGAAGAGCAAGTGGATCTTTTTTGTAATACTTTACAAGACGAAATCCTCAGAAAACCATTGAACGAAAACTTAAAGGAAAAATGCGTTGTTTTGAAAATAAAGGCTGACTGTGAAAGAAGTTTGGGAAATGGAGGGCTTATCAAATTGATCATAGAGCGCTTAAAACATGACGAAGATCCTAGTGGTAGAAAACATCATCAACCCTTTTTTGTCCCACCACCACCTCCACAAAAATTTTCTTCGCCAGCGAAACCTAAAGCAGAAAAGACATCCCCACTAAAACAAGGTATACTCTTCTATGTTCAGTTATGTATATACATAATTGCTTTTAAGGAGTTGTAACTTATGCAAACCTAACTCAACCTAAATAAGTAAATGGCGACAGGCTTATCAAGATTATTATTCCATTTATATCATTTTACGTGCAAGTTGCAAAGTTCCTAACTCTATTATGTGTCAGATTTCCATGTTTTCATTAATTTAACCAAAGTCTCGACTATTTTGTATTGTGCCAGAATTGAAACATCAAATGCTCACTTGTCACTAGCTCATTGTCTATGCATGCAAGATGTCTAAAAATATTCAATTCTTGGTAAGGATTCAAAAGCAAAGATGCTTTTGATTCTCACTGCTCTAGTCACAGGCAAGCACCATGACTGTAAACATACATACATGATAACAATAGTTATTAATTTCTTACCCATTTTTAAAGTTTGTGAGAATGAAGAAATTCATAAAATGCTGAGTTTGCTTGATTTTTGTTAATATTTTTCAGATGAATATTACAAAGAGACATCAACAAATAATGAAAAAGAACTCCTTGTTCCATCAAAGAGTGAAAAGAATTCAAAACATACGTTACTAAGAAAATGCAACAACCCCAAGAAGTTAGAACAACAGGAAAATGTTACGACCAAAGAAGATACAATCACTCCAGAATATGAAGTGGGCAACAACAGTGAAAATCATTCCTTAAATGAAGAACATGCTGATGAAAAACATGAACAAACAGGAAATGTAGAAAGTCGATCAAGCACTGGCAAGTCTTTGACTTTTTCAACTGAAGTACAAGTTCGTTGTTCAAAACAGCCACAAGCCATTAAGAAAGTGCCTAAAAATCAAAATTATGTTGTCTACGAAGAAGATGAAGGACAAGCGCTGATTCAAGCTCAATACAAAACAACTCATGAAGATGATAAAGAACAACACAATAATGTTGACAACAAACAAAAGGCAAACATTAAAAACAATGAAAGCAACGAGATTGAGAACTCTAAAAATCACCCCTTCAATAGAAGCCTCTCTGAAGTTGAAAAAGGATCGCGGATTGAGGAAGAAATTACAGAGGTTCAACATCCATTAGAAGTCTAACAATATCAAAGCAACATTGGTGATAAAATGCTGATGAAGTTCATGAAGAAGGTTTTGAAGAAGGTTTTCATGGAGAAGATATTCATCATTTATAAAAAAATATCAATAATGCCTTTTACTTACGGAGCAAACCCTGTTATTTTATCTTGCATTATCCATAATTCCTTTCGTAGTCTGGCTGCTAGTAAATGATCCTTAATGGTAAAGCACAATGTATCACTATTGCATTTCATATTTGTAATATTGATTTCCTTTTATCAATTGTCAATAGTTATTTTGTGTATAGCTAATAGGACAAATTGCAAATAAATTCTAGTTGATAAATTTTGGAGTGAAATGGATGATGATACTGGTTCAAAGGTTCTGATAGAATACCTGTTTATCTTTTGCCTCTTGCAGTTTAGCTTTTAGTTCTTCAACAGGATCTAACGATTTTGTGTTTTCTGTATGAGAATCCTTACTTTCATTATTGAGGCGATCAATCACACCATCTTCCTTCAACTTTTGAGCTCTTTCCTTGGCTCATTTTTCTGCACGTTTTTGATTCTTTTTTGTAGCCTTGCTCCCAACTTAATTCAAAACAGACGGAGTATTACTACTAATACAATAATAATAACAGCCATTTCAAATTTCTGTGTAGTACACCAAACATTACCTAGACACCTGAAGATCATAATTGTCCACTAAAATCTTCACAACCATTTAATTTTGAAAAGCAAGTAAAAATTGGTGACACAAAAACAAAAAGAGAATCACATCGACTTTTTAATCATGCTCAAGTTCAACATGTCATGAATGCCCTGATAATAACGATGAACTATTTGGGAAAATATGTTTATCTTGTGTTGTTTGAACATAGAAGAACATATGAATACAGCCAAGTGTTTGAAATGCACAAAGGTAAAATCCTTTGGGGACAACAAACCTTTCCTATCCCATCACCAACTCTGAATGCTAGCTCGTGTTCACCAAAATTTTTACAATATAAAGATGCAGGCTAATTAGAAGATTTATATAAGTGTACACAATAGTACAAATCATGTAAACTACAGTACTTATTTATTTGTGTGTACACATACAAATGCTACAAGTACAAGTGTAGTTTGTCAGACACTTTATACAGGTAAAGACTTGAATTACAAGATTCTATATCCAACTAAAGCAAAAACCTTATCACAAACGTGAATGCACATTTGTTCCTAAGGTGATCATTGAATTGTACTTGTGCCAGTGGAAGTTGAAATGTTTTTGTAAAAATTGTTTATGACCAACATCGTAGTGTATTGAAAGTGGTTTTACGTATATAAATAAAATAAGGAAAGTAAAAGTTAATCTGTCAGCAGTAACAGGTGATTGGTTGGCAATGACCATTGATTGATGATTGAACTGGCACTGAGGCTGATGGAAAAGTATGAAAATTGAAAACTCTACCTGAAGACATGATGCCTCTTTTGAAAAACTATAACAACAAGGAGCAGCACTTCAAGGAATAAAGAGATATTTAACGATTTCAAGATAGTTAACCGACAAATTTTGCCATATTTATGCCTATTTCCTCCGCTTTGTCTACTAAATTTAGATTACACTACATATATTTCCTCATCATCGGTAGTATCTCGTGATTTCTTCGTGACCGTACGCCTTATGAACTATAATTGTCTTTTATCTGGAATATTATCAAAGGGTCACGTGATCAAGTCAAAACCTGTCCCAGAACACCTCGGTTCGTTCTCTTAGATGTTCGCATAGATGGCGGTGAGTTTTCGTCTTGCCACGTGTATTGTATCTTGTCTATTTTACAGCTAAAACTCGCCGTAAGTCAAATTTACAACTCTTAAACCATCTCCCAAGTATGTTGACTTTCTTTTAGCTAGTAAGCCAACGAGAATATTGGTGTATTAGCGACATTTTGGCCATTTAAATTTGGTTGTCTTCCTTCATCAGTCAATTGAATTATCTCGGTATTTTACCTTACGGAGTGGCCTAAGTCCTAGAGACGTTCATTACATTTTCACTCTTTTCAAACTCAAATTTTTGAGTAGGATAGAGCAGTATTTTGTGTGTATTTGAAAATATATTTAGCTTGCTTTGCTATATATGTCCATAGATTTGAAGGATGGTACTTATGAAAAGAACATTTGCCACACTTATAGTAGGTGGGATTGTACTTGTTTCCAACCCCTTACGGTTCAGTTCCCGGACTGGCGGGCCGCATGACGGACAAGTAACCCTGATGCGGTAACATTGTTTCTAGAGTTAGCAGGGTAATCAGGCATTGTTTGTTTATTTCATGAAATGTATCCCTAGGAGAAAATACATAATTTGAGTCTGTTAGTTTCGTAAGAAAGAAATTGCTTACATTCCTCGGGATGACATGGTAAATTTTGTTTACGGCGTGTTACAGTTGATTGAGAATAGAACTCATTTTGAATGAAAATGCAAAGCAATTTTAAATTTGTTCAAATCTTTAGAATGCCTTCCTAATCTTTGGTGAATTGTCTAAGAATTTCTTGTGTCTGTATTGTTGGTCCATATACAGTTTATAGAGGTTTTCAATTACCATTTCTGCTGAGAAATCTTGCTTTATCAAGCTTTACTATTGTGTAACAATTCAATTTTCTATTGTATCAAATTATTATGGTCATTTTGGCAAATTCAATATCTAAGCAAAACAAAAACAACTAAGATATTTCTGCCTTTAGAATGATAGCAAAACAGAAGAAAGACAAAATCCAATGAAAGAACTACGAATCCAGAAGCTGTGCCTCAACATTTGTGTTGGCGAGAGTGGCGACAGGCTCACAAGAGCTGCAAAAGTCCTCGAACAGCTTACTGGTCAGGCTCCTGTCTTCTCAAAAGGTAGAAAACTCTGATCTTTGTTGCACTTCTTAATTTTTTTTTAATATCTCCCATATCTAGATGAAATAGTTTTATCACTGTTGATTGTATGAATAAAGTACGGTAATCAGTGCGCGAATTAGTTCAGAAAAAACGATGTGCAATTTTTTTGACAAAAGTGTTTCTTTAGAGGTATAATAAAATCAATATTACGTTATTTATTATACAGCGCTAATTGCTAAATTAATATTTTTAATCATGAACAAATATCATATGATTTACGACAGTGTTTTTCGTTAGAACCGCTAATTTTTGCACATCGTTTGAAAAAGTGATGTGCAATTGTTTTCATTTTAGCTAAAACGATGTGCAAATTGCACACCGTTAATTTGCACACTGACGGTAATGACGGTATTGTGTATTTGAATTGGCGTGTTTCATGTGAAATTATGAAGAACAGTAACAAATAGCAGTTTTATTTGGTATTTAACATACAATGCTCAGATTTTTTTGCAAACATGAATACAATGATTAATTAGCTTGAAAATGCTTAGCATCGTTTGTTATTGTGAATTCATTGGCTTCACTGTCAATGATTTCATTAAATATCTTGTGATTAAAGGAATTGAGGGAAATCAACTTTACCATACAAAAAGACGATCAAAGTTTAAACTCTGTCTTTCTAGCTCGTTATACTGTACGATCATTTGGCATTCGACGTAATGAAAAGATTGCTTGTCATTGCACTGTCCGTGGACCCAAAGCTGAAGAGATATTGGAAAAAGGCTTAAAAGTATGGTTTCCAGTCTCATTTTGTGTTCTTCATGCACAGCCCGAGAAACAATGTGCAATTTATTCATCATCTTGCATCAATTAGGTGAAGGAATACGAATTGAGGAAGGAAAACTTCTCGGCCACTGGAAATTTTGGCTTTGGTATCCAAGAACATATTGATCTTGGCATCAAGTATGATCCAAGCATAGGTATCTATGGCATGGATTTCTATATTGTGTTGGGTAGACCGGGCTTCAGGATTTCTCATCGTCGTCAGAAAAAGAGCCGCATTGGTGTTCAGCACCGTGTGACCAAAGAGGATGCAATGAAGTGGTTCCAGCAGAAGGTAATCTTTGTTAATGTATTCAGTGAAGTGGTTTCAGCAGAAGGTAATCTATGTTAATTGATTCAATGAAGTGGTTTCAACAGAAGGTAGTGTTTATTAATTTATTCAGTGAAGTGGTTTTAGTAGAAGGTAATCTATGTTTTAGTAGAAGGTAATTTATTCAGTGAAGTGGTTTCAGCAGAAGGTAATCTATGTTAATTTATTCAACATTGGCCAATAAAGTGCCTACGTAGGTAGAAATATACAAGGACATGCAATGTGTGATCATGCAAGAGCTTTTGCCAATCGCAGTGGTCATTTAACAACATGTTGCATTGTCACTAATGCTTGCAAGTTAATAATATTATATTATTCTCCACTTGCCAATAATGAAAGAACTATTAAATATTTCTTTGCACCCTCATGTTTGTGTGGCAGAATGAGATGAAAAGGTAGCAATAGTATGTTAGAACATCATTGTTTAAGTAATGTTTTATTTGACAGATCATAAACTTGTTGCAAATATGTTGAGTTTACTGTTAGGCTTGAGTGTTACTATGTTTTTTGTTTGTTTTTAGTACGATGGCATTCTCTTACCAGGGAAGAAGTGATTTTCCTCTTATGTAATTCATTTTCCATGTCACCTAAATGTGGTAATTTACTGAATAAAGTTGATGGTGTGTTTACATGCTCATGTGCAAATTTGATGACTTGATGTGTTAACTGTATGGAACGAATATGTGAGAGAGCAACTACAATAATTTTTGGACTTATTGTCCAAATGACTTGCCTTTTACCCATCTTTGTCTTTTCATTGAATGTTATAAACTATCTGAACATCCTGGAACTTCGGATGTTTTTCTGTGAGTGCAAAAATCTAGAAAGACCATGTTGAGAAGGTACTGGCATGATGTGGACAAGGATCGGTAGATGCTCCATGAGATGTGTAAGATTTACTCTTTCTCACTTTTCTCAGAAGCTCAGCTTCAGAAATTTAGTGTGACTTTGTTAAGTCTTCCAAAAAATCTGATGGTTTTTGACTTTTTATTACGTGAACATTGCCATTTTGGAGTTTGCCAAACTCTTGGATTTACTAAAGGAGCTGACAATCCAGGTCCAAGCTTTTATGGACTGATAATCTTAGCAAACGTCAAGGATTAATCAGGTAGCATTTCATGTCTGTTTAAGTAGTTGCAAAGACTGAAACAAGAAATTTGTTTCTATTTCTTTTCATTTGAGAAAATACAACATAACTGTGAATATAAACTTTAACTTTTATTGACTATAAATGCCATACTATACAAGCTATGAATGCAAGGCAATACGTTTAGTAACAAACAATGAACTACAGCTTAGACACAAACCAATATATGATAATTACGTTGAGTTTGGAATGTTGCTTTACTTAAGATGATTGACTTTGAAGAAAAGTGTTTACAACTCATTTTAGAAATTCACTTCTTTCTTTTATCCTCCTAAAAGATAATAGGACAATTTGTCTGGTGAAATTTGTTAAAAAAATTGACAAAAACAGCAGATTAAAGGATCAACCTTGTTTTGAGCAAGTATGACCATGATGCGACGGAAGACAGCAATAAAGTCAATAAACAAATCAACACATTGCCTGAAAGATGGAGAAAATGTATGTTAAATCATTGAGATAGTGATTATGCATTTATAAAAGAAAATGTTTTTCCTTGATTGGTAGGGTCTTACCATACATAATCTTTGTCACCATGGCGGAATTTCTCCACAATCAGTTGGGTGTCATATAAAATAAAGGCACTGAAGACGACCAGACCGAGATAAAGATGAACCTGGGAAGATATGACAATTTGTTGGCCATGAGGTCAATGAACTAGGTGGCAGAAAAATTTTTTAAAAGATCACCTGATATAGGACATAGGATCTCATAAAGATGTTGATCAAAGAGCTGACCATTAAGATCATCATTCCCGATCCAAGCAAACCTAAGCAAGATAGAAATTTATGTATTTACACATTCTTTATCGAGATGGTTGGAACATGTGAATATTTACCTCCCAAGTAAAGATAGCTACGTTCCTCAGCCCATAAAGCGCTCAATGTGAAGCACACAAAGATCAATGATGTTAGGAAGAATGCTGTAGGTACAATGCTAAAAAAAACAAACAAGTTTCAATTTTGGGTTGCTTTTGAGATGGTGAAAAAGGACTTATTGTGAAAGTAAAATAATCTGTGGATCGATGTTTAGTATGTATCTACCTGGGGTCAATTTGGGTGACTCTTTCCATGATGGGACCCAAACCAAGACCTATAGATAACATGAAGATGAAGTAAGAAATCTGAAAAATAAGCATTTTTACAGTTACATGTACAACAAAATACCTGTACAGAAAGCGAAACCCATCAAGTAGCCTGGAAAAAGAAGGAAATTGTCACATGACAAAGTGAAGACATTGTAAACAGAACACAGGTGCATCATGTGACATACCGAATCTTTTCAACTGATTTTTGCCATCGTTTGGTGTAAACCTTAATAGCAACAGAAGTCCAAAACCGCCCAAGGCCGAGAGAATGCCACCCTATATGTACATATAACCAATTATGGTATATAATATAACCAATTCATAAACAATCATGATGTAGTATTAACGCTGCGATAGAGAGAATAATACACAAAGAGACATGCTCTTCATTCTACCTTCAAAAAATGAGTGAACATATGGATGGCTCCACCTGCAGCTGCTGCAAACATTGACATCGCAAGCGCAGAATAGACATTCTTCAAATGTTTCTTCGTTGGAGTGTCTCTGTCGAGAGAAAACAATGCAGCTTTAAATGTTTCTATTGTTGGCTTGATTCGCCTTATTTATCCAAGGCAACTAACGACAAATGATCTAAAATTTTAAGGCATACTGCAACACAATGTAACTGCGACATTTCATTTGTGAAATGCTGTTTATCTACACTATAACTTCCCGAAAAAACAGAAACTTCCAGAAAGGACTTACAGCTTCGAGAAGTCTGTCAAAGCGGCCAAGTTAAAACCCCTGTTTTTCGTCAAACTTTCCATGATAACCCGAACAAAATTCACTTCTTTCTTGTTTTTAATCGCGAGAAAATTGCAAGGAAAACAAATTTTTCCCCGTCCTTGTTGCCGTGTAAATTTGGGGCGGACGAAAAGCCTGGTACTTTTGACGTGCTCGCGTTTCATTGGTCAATGATGAGGTCACTGATGATTAGGTAAGCAAATATTTTGAATAGGAATCAGCCTAAGAACTACGTATGCATCTGGAGTCATATAACAAAGGTACCGGCATTTCTTGGGACGCGTATGTGATAAAAATATGTACTCCGTAAAACTGAGAATTTTCTGTATTTTTTATTAGAAAGCGTCGTTGTGCCGGGGGGATGATGAGGCTGTAAATATGGCTGAAACATTCCGATCTTGTAATCTGCCAACTGTCAAATGCAAATGATCCGTTCATTTTTAAAACATATTTAAGAAATTTTACTACAGGACTTGGGTGAGTATTGAATCATAGAATTCATTTATCAATTGCTTCGGACTTTATTTACTTTAATTATTTTCTACCCGTTTCCTTTCCTAAAATTCACGAACACATTTTTCCTTCTACTTTTTACGAATACGATATCTCAGCTTGTGCATAGTTTTGCAATATTTGTGCCACGTTGACGTTTTTGTAGTACTGAGCACTTCATCTAAAACACAACGCTTTAAAAAGAAACCACTGCTGTATGAGATCCCGAGGTCTTCCTTGTGTCCAAGCAATATCCAGCCGTCTCGTCGATATTTTAACGCTCGACACCTTCAAGTATTTGAAGATTCTTATTTTTCTAGTGCAGCATGTCAACAAAAAAGCTTCTTGTGTTGTCTGGTCCTAGCGGTGCCGGCAAGTCCACTTTACTGAAACAGTTATTGAAAGAATATCCAAATAATTTTGGATTTTCTGTCTCCCGTAAGTGCGACTCCCGAGTTTATGTTGACCTACATCCAACAGCATTCCACCAAATGGTTCTTCTTGCACATTTTCATTTCAGATACAACACGAAAACCTAGAAGTGGCGAAGTAGATGGAAAAGGTATTGTAAAAACTCGGCTGTACTCAACCTCCTGTTGGAAGTATTTATTTCACAAGTGCTAAACCTTTCTAGATTACCATTTCTCGCAGCGTGAAGAAATGTCGAAGGCCATCGAGGATGGTGAATTTTTAGAACACGCCTGTTATTCGGGAAATATGTATGGAACCAGGTTGGAAAGTCTTTCTCAAAATTTTTTTGTTAATTCATTGTTACTGTGTTGACCATAAGATCCTACACTATCATAATGCGGAATGGCTATACAACAGGTCAATAGGAGTATTCACCAGATAAAATTTTCACAAATGTTTGCCATCTATTTTGGAAAGAAATAAAGAAAATCACCATTAATAGATAGATCTATGTAAGGCTATCTAAAGAAGCTAACCTGTGCAGATGTCAGAACTACCAAAGAGTATTTTTATGAAATATGAAGCATTAGACCTTTGGTAATGTTCAATAATTTTTTCTAAATGTTTCAACTTGAAGTTGACTAAAATAAGTTAGCTTGACTAAAGTTAGCTTTTTCAAAATGTTTATGTTTATTATACATTGTTTTGTGTTTTAGTTTCACACTGTCGAGATATTTCATTTAAGAGTAATGATAATTTTGCAAATAATGTTTAACTACCTGCTTGCAGCAAGAAAGCAGTCCGAGATGTTCAAGAGCAGGGAAAGATCTGTATCCTAGATGTTGATAGACAGGCATGTTTTTTATTATATTTATTGATCAATATTATGACAAAATTTACTTTCTAATTCATTTGATATTATCCTCATTACTAACCTTAGATAACCGCTCTCATTGAAGAATCATTAAAGTAAAATTTGCCTAATAACATCATTTTCACACTAAAATTTAATTTGGTTATATTTTCTTCAGGGAATACTTAATGTAAAAAATGCCGGCATAGATGCATTTTATCTGTTTATCAAACCTCCTTCGATGGCAATTCTGGTGAGTTTTTGAACCACCATCCAGCTTTGGTAACGTTTAAGAATGACACAATAAATTATGTATGTGTGCCTAAAATTTACATTTTTTGTACTAAGGAGAAAAGATTACGTGGACGTGGTACAGAAACAGAAGATTCAATTCAAAAAAGACTGGGTATTGCCAAGGCTGATTTGGAATATGGTATTAGTATACAGTTACTTTAGAAATTATATACAATTAGTATATATTACTTTATTCCAAAGCCATCATCAGAGAATATATATAATATATTAATCCTAATACAGTTTTATATGCACATGAAAAACAATGATTCTTTGGAATAAAGTTAAAACACGGTGCCATCCAGTAAACTGCTATAATGGTGAGAATCTCTCATCCATACGCAGTTTAAAAGAGATTTGACTCATCTCCAATCCCCTTGGGCTTGGTAGCTTAACAGGTAGAGCAGCAGACTAGTATCCCGAAGGTGCGAGTTCAAATCTCGTCCAAGTCACATGTTTTTCATGTGCATATAAAACCGTGTTAAGATTAATATATTGTATATATTACTGGTGCTTTAAAATGGTCAATCTATGGTGTGGTTGAACGGTTGAATGGTTTTGAATATTGCAGCTGAAGTAAAGGATGCATATGATGCAACCGTGATAAATGATGATCTACAGCAGTCATATAGTCAACTGAAAGAAGTTATTAGTATGGTAAGATAAGTTATCATGATTAAAAACTCATCGCACCATATTGTGACATTCACTTCTTTTTTTAGAATATCTGTCCTCTCATTTGAATTTAATTCATTTCATTGAAAATGACAACATATGTCCTCAATCAATCAATCGTGTACCATTGTTATATTTATTTTCCCATGCAATGAAATTTTAATATAATGAATAATGTATTGATCAATTTTACATGTCTTTTTAAGAAAAGAATTTTGATCTTGAATTAAATTTTTTGTCCCTGATTGTATTTCGTTTATTTTCACCATTGAATTGTTAACCCACCATGGTCACCTGGATATACAAAGAGCCATTGAGATCGACTTCTTTACCACTCCACTCGATGAGAGGAGCCTGGGGACTGATTTAAAAACATGGCGGATTTTTCAAAAATTTTCGAAAATTTTGAAATTTACCTGCGTTTCTACTGTCGTTTCGAAAAGGTTGCTCTTAAAGACTTAATGAAAGGTTGGAAACGCTGACGTCTGCGAGAATAGCCCGCAAGTCAGTAAGTCTCAGCGTTTAGAGTTATTGTCCGTCGGTCAGAACTGGAAAAATCGAAAAACTTGGAAATCTTTATGTTTGTCTTGAGTTGCATGGGAGTGCTTCGTTTTGTTCTTAGTGTTTGTACCAACTGTGTTTGATGAATTACTATTTTCTCCATTTGCTAAAATTTTCTTTGGCTGTTTTGTAGCGTATTGCCTTGTTTTCTCTCCCCCCGTTTCTCAACCTTTCTTCCCCCTCCCTGAATAATCTACAAATGCAATATGGCGACCAATTCTGAGGGAGAAAAGCTTGCTCAAGGTCAAAGTGAAACAGATAAACAGACATTATTAGCTGTTCTACAGTTTCTTAAGAAACAAAATTTAAAGGTAAGACTCGATAGCCGATTAATGTCTTATGCGAACGAGTATCTGTCAAGAAAAAAACTTAAAAAGGGAAAAAATTTTGAGTAGCTTTTAGCAATTTAGATAGGCCTGTTTCAGACGTCGAACTTTGCACCAGCCAAATGCATTAAAGACAAAAGAAAATGATACAAAATTCCTCATTATTTTTTTGTTTTAAGTGCATTAGGCTCATGTAAAGTACGAAGTGTGAACTGATAATTTCTACGCATTCGCTTTCATTCAAGGCGTTTTATATGAGAATTTTTTTTGACAAAAAAATCCGCCCCGTTTTCTTTATCAGAATCCGTTATAGTAGTTATCGGAATAAAATAAGTTATGTGAGTGTAAAAAACACAAAAGGAATGATGTTTAATGTTTTCTTGATAATTTTAAATCAAATTCAGCTATCTGTACTGGTTATTGAGACATGATACTATTTATACTATATTGATTGTATTATTTCTATATTTAGGAACTGAAGAAGCTCTAAGGCAGAAGTATCATGTGCAGGTGTGATGCTTAACTATACTGGTTACAAGACCTTGAATTGTGGAAAAAGTTTACTTAAAAAAGAATTGATTATGTAGGAATTGAGGAAAACTCTGTTCCAAACTCAGACATCAACAACGTCTTGTCTGAGTATAGCAGGTGAGCACCTAGGCAGTGTATGTTGTCTGAGTATAGCTGGTGAGCACCTAGACAGTGCATGTTTGCTGAGTATAGCAGGTGAGCACCTAGACAGTGTATGTTTGCTGAGTAGCTGGTGAGCACCTAGACAGTGCATGTTTGCTGAGTATAGCAGGTGAGCACCTAGACAGTGCATGTTTGCTGAGTATAGCAGGTGAGCACCTAGACAGTGTATGTTTGCTGAGTATAGCAGGTGAGCACCTAGACAGTGCATGTTTGCTGAGTATAGCAGGTGAGCACCTAGACAGTGTATGTTTGCTGATAGCTGGTGAGCACCTAGACAGTGCATGTTTGCTGAGTATAGCAGGTGAGCACCTAGACAGTGCATGTTTGTTTAGCAAGTGGTGAGAAAGTGCATGTTTGCTGAGTAAGCAGATGAGCACCTAGACAGTGTATGTTTGCTGAGTATAGCAGGTGAGCACCTAGACAGTGCATGTTTGCTGAGTATAGCAGATGAGCACCTAGACAGTGTATGTTTGCTGAGTATAGCAGGTGAGCACCTAGACAGTGCATGTTTGCTGAGTATAGCAGGTGAGCACACCAGACAGTGTATGTTTGCTGAGTATAGCAGATGAGCACCTAGACAGTGTATGTTTGCTGAGTATAGCAGGTGAGCACCTAGACAGTGCATGTTTGCTGAGTATAGCAGGTGAGCACCTAGACATCTGAGTATAGCAGGTGAACACCTAGACAGTGTATGTTTGCTGAGTATAGCAGGTGAGCACCTAGACAGTGCATGTTTGCTGAGTATAGCAGGTGAGCACCTAGACAGTGCATGTTTGCTGAGTATAGCAGATGAGCACCTAGACAGTGTATGTTTGCTGAGTATAGCAGGTGAGCACCTAGACAGTGTATGTTTGCTGAGTATAGCAGGTGAGCACCTAGACAGTGTATGTTTGCTGAGTATAGCAGATGAGCACCTAGACATCTGAGTATAGCAGGTGAACACCTAGACAGTGTATGTTTGCTGAGTATAGCAGGTGAGCACCTAGACAGTGCATGTTTGCTGAGTATAGCAGGTGAGCACCTAGACAGTGCATGTTTGCTGAGTATAGCAGGTGAGCACCTAGACAGTGCATGTTTGCTGAGTATAGCAGATGAGCACCTAGACAGTGTATGTTTGCTGAGTATAGCAGGTGAGCACCTAGACAGTGTATGTTTGCTGAGTATAGCAGGTGAGCACCTAGACAGTGTATGTTTGCTGAGTATAGCAGATGAGCACCTAGACATCTGAGTATAGCAGGTGAACACCTAGACAGTGTATGTTTGCTGAGTATAGCAGGTGAACACCTAGACGTCTAAGTATAGCAAGTGAACACCTAGGCAGTGTATGTTTGCTGAGTATAGCAGGTGAACACCTAGACGTCTGAGTATAGCAGGTGAACACCTAGACAGTGCATGTTTGCTGAGTATAGCAGGTGAGCACCTAGACAGTGTATGTTTGTTTTGCTGACTTTTTATGAAAAATTGCATGCGATTGGTCCAATTAATTTTAAAACCATTTTTAAAGATACCAAGAAGAAAGATCTTATTAAATGATTGTGCTGTAAAGAAGTTTAATGATAGGATTCAACTTGCAATTTTGTATTTTCAACGAAATGGGATAACTTTTTTCAATGATTATGAATTTTTTATTTAGTGAAGGGGATCCAAAAAAGTATGAAGACTATTATTCTGGGTATGAATGATGAATTTTGCTTAGTCTTGAGAATGTATGACTATGTGTGTTGTAAATATGGATAGTTTTTCTTACCAGAATTCAGGAATACATAGAGAAATCGTTAGATGTATACAAGGTAAATAAATCTTGATTTTTTTTCCTGGAAAGTCTCAGTACTGTTAGATTTTAAACTTGAACATTGAACATTGTTTTTAAACTCAATACAATATTTAGTTTATAATACGGACGCTCCCATTAATTTATCTTATTTCCTTTTTATTGTTGTAATTTATGTATCATATTACTTTTATATAAACCTTGTATCACTTATTATTTCACTCATACTGAAGATGGCATCATGAGATGTCGAAACATGTCTATTTTCAAAAACTTGTCGCTTATATCAAATGTGCATGAGCAATAGTGCTTATATGAAATTTATTGTTTTTCTTGTATAACTTTGGTTTATCTAGCCTGAACTTGGTACAATCCTCTATCCATTATTTGTTCATATGTACCTTGACCTCATTTACCAAGGTCATGAAGATAAAGGTATCAATATCCTCTCTTTTCAAAAATAAGTATTCGTTTTTTCCCTGTTTCTATTGTACAACCGAACTTATTTTCATTTATCATACTGCCAATGCATGATTCCATTTGCTTATATATAGCAAGATCATTCTTGGCCAAGTTTCGAGACAGCCAGGAGGATTACTATCAGGCGGATGTAACAAAGCTTGCATCTGTTACTCATAAGGAGCATGCTGAAATTAATGATTTAATGCTTACGCTAAGGTTAGTCGGTTTCTCTCATAAATGAAATATGCTTATTTAGTTTGGTGGTGTGACTCGTCCGATGCTCTTAATACAAGATGCCAGGATCAGATATTCTGATCGTGGATGGATTTTTATGTTTTCTACAGGGGTGATGCTAAAATATTTAGGGGGGTGGTGGTAAGGAAGTGATGTATGACAAAGTAAGAGAGTGAGGATTTTAAGGTTGGTCAAGTATTGTAGCAACTTAAGGTAATATAGAGAGTTGAAACGTTGCCTGGAGAAACTTGGTTCAGCTGTACTACTATTTTGTTTTGCTAAAATTGGGGGGTTAAAATGTTTCTTAGGGGAGTGAAAAATTTATTTTGAGGGGGTGGTGGTGAAATATGATGTTTGGGGGTGATACCCCCTGCAGGCCTGCACCCTCAGAAATCCATCCATGATCCTGCTATTGTATAATATCCTAGATGCAGTACATATATTTCCTTGATTTTTAAAGATATACCTTAGATTGCTCTGCTACTTTTGAAATAAGTGGCCTTTAAGGGGTGGCTGCTTTTGATGGGGGAGAACAGTTTCGGAGGGTTTCAATATTGAGTTGTTATTTTCAGCATCAGTTCACTCCTGTGGTTCACTCTTATCAACGCTCTATGAACAATATTTTTGAATGTGTTTTACGATGGTCTTGACCATGGTCTGAAAGTGTTATTTTATGTAGCAAGATTGTTTACAACTTGTAATTAGAATATTTAAAATTGATTTCAAACCGTGTATATTGTTCAAGGAGAAAGCAAAATATATTCATAGCGTATAGTTATCACAGCGAGTGTGAATTTTACCATGTAGACGAAATGAACTTTGTAGAAAGCAATCCAATGTCAGTCTCTGTGAGTCGCATCGATCCATTTTACAACGTGACTTGCTTGATTATGAAAATTAAAAATTAAAAACGTTATTTACCGTTTAGGCCGGACCTTAGTAAAAAATATTTTCCCTTGGCCTCAGAAGCGACCCTCGGCGTTGCCGCTTTCGCCCTTTGGCCGCTTTTAAGACCTCGTGAAAATATTTTTTGTCAGTACGAATCTCCCTCCGGTAAATAACATATGTGTATATTTTCACTGTGTTCAGATCTGTTACAAACGTGTTGAAATCGTTTCCACTGCATCTCTACTATTTAACTTATTTATTTCGGCAGGTGAAGCAAAATAAACTATTTTTCGTTTCAGGAGCAATAAATTTGTGATAAAGTTATCGAGGGAGTCGTATCAAGCTTTGAAGAAAAAATTACAGGTTCGATGCCCTTGCCGAGAAATAGACATGTTTTTGTGGTTATGAACTTTGGTATTGCTCTGAACAGCGTATTTGTCATTGTGAATGTTTATTGGGTGGTTCTTAAAAGAACTTGTTATATGCAGTGCGGTGTTTGAAATTAAATGAAGATATGATCTTCGCACTTTTGCTGGACAATTTAAGCAATTGTCTCATGAACCTGAAAAATTCAGGTGACTCAACGGGATTCGAACCCGTGACCTCTGCGATGCCGGTGCAGTGCTCAATTGCTTAAATTGTCCAGCAAAAGTGCGAAGATCATATCTTCATTTAATCTTAAAAGAACTGTTGAAAACTAGAATAAAGTTAGCTATAAAATTACATGACAAGATGAATTTCGACCGTTTCCTCGTCAGGTCTCACACACGCTTTAATGAAAACAAAAATTTACTTCTATCAATAATGAAGACGAGGAAAAACCGCATAACCTCCAAACGGTGAAGCGGCCTTTTAAACTTTAAAACAGATACAAGTTAAAGACGTAATGCTTTTGATTGTCAACTTAATTAATAGTCAACAATTGATTTGTCAACTTTTTGATCGCACGATCTCTTTAATAGGAAAGTCAAAGTAATTTGGTCCTAAATTTAATCCAACAACATTTGCAATTCGACGGTTAGTTTGACTAAATTGTTTTTCTCCATTAAATAATAAAATTCTGTTACGAAAGACCCGACACACGTTGATTTTGTCTCTGGCTTTGGTTTTAGTTTTTGATGGTCGACCAAGAAGCAAGGACGTTGTTGAAGCAACGTCTGGTGGTGTTGTAGGCCAACCCACTAATGAAGGTGAATTTTTTTTTTCAGTATTGTGTTAAACTATCTGAATTATTGCGCACCCTTTCGGAAACATCGTCGACCTATAAAGTACGTACGACTTAAGAAAATTCGAAATCGATGAATTTTACAGCAGGGCAGCGTGCACGCCAGGATATTTCGAGCACTGCTTTAGAGCAAAATCTGAAAATCTATCGTTGTTGAATTGAGTATTTGCATGGCAAAAATGCTTTTTTTTCGTTCTACTTCGCACAGCAAATAAGGGAAAGGTTTTACATGGAATCGCTCAAGAACCAGATCTGGGAGTAGTTTTACCAGAGGACGATCCTGAAGACGAGACTGACGAAAAGGATAAACCCAAGGTTTGTGACGTGTTGAGCTGTGCGGTTTCAAAAATTTTATCTCTGTTTCGATTCTTTTTTAACAAATCATCTATACACCCATGCGAATCACTCTTAATCACATACAATCCTCTATACAATCACAATTTCAATAACTTTTTATTCAAATTTTCATTTACAATCATTGTCAATCACCTTCAATCGTGTACAATCACTATCAATCACCTTCAATCATCTATAATCATTGTCAATCACTGTCAATCAATTTCAATCACCTTCGATCATGTACAATCACTATCAATCACCTTCAATCATCTATAATCACTGTCAATCACTGTCAATCATTTTCAATCACCTTCAATCGTGTACAATCACTATCAATCACCTTCAATCATCTATAATCACTGTCAATCACTGTCAATCAATTTCAATCACATTCAATCATGTACAATCACTATCAATCAATCCAACTTTTCGACGGTACCCACACGTATCAAAAATACGAGGTCAAATTACAAAATTCGAACAGTCAATTGAATCAAAATTAGGGCTAAAATCCGATCTGGATATTGATCGGATCTAAAATCGGATCCCGATGAGTGGGTGGTTTCTTGCAAAGAAAGGTATACTGCATGCATGTGCGTAATAAATTGGACGGCTGTCTCTATGCCATCAAAAGAAGTCCTTTGAATCCGAAAAGTGTACTGTTTAATCGCAAAATTACTCGAGAAATGAAGTTTCATTCTAGATTTAATCATGAAAATATTGGGTATATAAGGTAAAAAGAAATTTATTACCCAAAATGAATTAAAATTTTATGACATAAGTGTTCAATTTCGACGGTACAAATGGCTTGCCTTGTTAAATGTTATCTTCGTAAAAACTATCATAAAAAAGTGGATAATCCCGTTTTTCCATGAAGCCCATGGATGCTTTCGTTCACGAAGAGAGAGCTATATTGTATAAGGAGGCTGTTGTCGTTCATCACGAGAGAGTTATGAGAAAGTTGAATTGTAAAAGGTTGTAGAGTTGGTTTAAGTTCTAATTTAAAAAGCTCTAAATTGTTAGAACGTTTGCAGTATCCTTGGATGTTCTATTTTCTTTTATGTAAACAAAAAGATAAAATTCAAAAGAAAAAAACCCCGTTTTCGGTCCATGCTTCCCGATACCTTCTTAAGCGTAAGGCACTAGAACGTCGCATGTTGACGTTTCGGTAGGAGATTTCAGCCCCTCCACGCTATCTTACTTGGGAGATGCAATAGCAAGCTTCCGCCCATCAGACCCCGAGATCACCTGCGATAGGCTTTGCTCGGGGTACGCAGGGAGAGTGCGGTCGCCACCGAAGTGTGGGCCCCTAAGCCACTGCATACCTAATCGCACCCAGCTTCCACTGCTAGTTGACATCTACTATATGAAGTCTGAAATTGGTGCTTTTATATGCGCTTAGCAATTTTTAATCATATATTTTTGGCATGCTCTTTGTCTTCTTAAGCTTGTTTTAACAAATGCATATTAAATTCATTAACACTTTGTTACGGCACTCGTAATATCCGTGACAACGTTAGAGATATTTTTAATTTTCTCTATAACTTTATACCTGCGTATAGCATGTCATATCCAAGCTTTACTTTGATTTGACGGACAATGGTTTTTATTTATTCCTATACCCTCTGCCTTTATAATTAGTCGTTCTGTACTTCTAAAATAAGATTTACAAATGCTCCAAGAACATCTTCTTTCTATTTTATTGCCACTATGCTACATATACAATTCTATGTCCGACCATTTGATTGTCCGAATTTTGTAATTTGATCTCGTATTTTTGACGCGTGTGCTTACCGTCGGAAAGATGGCTATCTATCATGTTGAATCATCTATAATAACCATCTATCACCTTCAACCATCTTCCTTCACCTTCATAACGGACTAAATGTTGGTTCATTGTTCAACCAATATTACCTCCGATCATATCGGTACGCTCTTCTTGTCGTCATACTTTTTTGTTATTTAATGTAGAAAAAGAAAGCGAGGAAGGAGGGAGGTCAAGGTATTTCAGTCATTAAAACGACGTTTTTTGACTTAGCTACGAGAAAAGCGTAGATTGTTTCAATCTCAGATCAACTTCAATATTTCAAGTTTCAAGAATTATCACTTCATTTTCCGTTGCTCCGTTTTTATTTCCAGCAAAGAAAAAAAAAGAATTTAATCCTGACGCTCCGAAACTTGACCGAGTTCCCTTTCCAGATTTGTGAGTTGTTGACAATTTATTTCGAATTGATTTAATATTTTCTTTGAATATATGAAAATCGACGTTCACTTAGGAACAATTTATGTTGAATTAAAAATAATTTACGTTAAATCAACAAATGTTTACCTTAAATTAATAGTATTTTTGTAAAATTAGTAACAATTTATGTTGATTTAATGACAATTTATGTTGAATTAATCGCAATTTATGTCGAACCGAAAGCCGCTCACATTAAATTAAGAACTAATTACGTTGAATTAATAATAATTTAAGTTATTGCACGCCTTGCAAAGTTCGTTAATCTAAATTTATATTATTTATCTTGTATTTATTTACCAGCTTTCTTCTAAATCTAAATCGCTTTCTTCTAAATCTAAATCGTCTTTTTACTTGAAATTAACTTCAACTTATAATATTCACAAATCAAGGACGGATTTTCGTATTTTTTTATCAAGCGGGTGCTAAAAATCTTAGAAGGGTGAAAATTATAAGAGAGAAGCATATGTATCTATTCGAAACTCTCTCTTGGTTTTTTTTGAAATATCGCCCAACGAAACTTTGTTCAACTACACCACAGTTTTATTTGGGGGGGGGAGGTTGAAATGTATTGTTTTATAGAGGGATGAACAATTGACTTAGTGGGGGGAAATCCGACATTGTGTGTGTGGGGCACTTTCCCGCAGTGCCCAGAAAATCGTTTCAGGTCATAACGAACCTGCGATTATTTTCTTTATAGGAAAGATCGCGAGAAAGTCTTGAAAGCAACCATGCTCAAGGAAACGGCAAAAATGTTGAACTTGGACGGCGAAACGTTACCATCAGTTTGTTTTTATACCTTTTTAAACGCACATCAAGGGTACGTCAGTCATTTGTCTTTATCATCCTTGGGGGGGTGGGGTGGGTAGTGGGCAAAGATGATCAAGAGTTATAAGTATTGTGGTTATTTTTACTGAACAAGTTTATCATCCTTGGGGGGTGGGGTGGGTAGTGGGCGAAGATGATCAAGAGTTATAAGTATTGTGATTATTTTTACTGAACAAGTTTATCATCCTTTGGGTGGGTAGTGGGCGAAGATGATCAAGAGTTATGAGTATTGTGGTTATTTTACTGAAAAAGTTTATCATCCTTAGGGGGTGGGTTGTGGGCGAAGATGATCAAGAGTTATAATTATTGTGGTTATTTTTACTGAACAAGTTTATCATTCTTGGGGGTAGTGGGCGAAGATGATCAAGAGTTATGAGTATTGTGGTTATTTTTACTGAAAAAAGTTTATCATCCTTAGGGGGGTGGGGTGGGTAGTGGGCGAAGATGATCAAGAGTTGTGAGTATTGTGGTTATTTTTACTGAGCAAGAATGCAACTTAGATACCGTAAAGTCTTGAAAGTAGCCTCCCTCCAAGCTGAAAGTAACCGCCCTCTTGAAAGCAACCACCGTCTTTAGAACTGTCAAAAAGCTTTACAACATTTAAATTTCATTATCCATATAACAGTCATGTACATTTTTGTCAACTACCGTAACCTTGCACAACATTGAACACATTCAAAAATACCGTTTATAAAGCGTGGGTTAAAAGGTAATCATTGGACTTAACCTTGTGCCCAACTAGAACCTTAATTTGAGGGTGAATATTCACATAATCAGTGGTGACCAACTGATCTCTTTTGAAAGCGAACTGGATGGCTACTTTCGAGACTCTACGGTATTTTCCGATAAACGTTTTATTCCATTGATTGTCAACTTCAAATTGTTCGTTAATAGCAATCAAGAGCCTTTTGGGAATGTTATAAGTGTCCTTATAAAGTCTATAGCGTTATAAATAAGGCTTCTCAACGGACCTCTGGAAACGGCTATCCACTGGAAACGTTAAAAATTTCTTTTAAGGGAAAATATACGATCTGAACTATAAGCAATCACTGAAATAAAACATTGCTTCTAAGATTACAAAAATTTCTTTGCCGTAAGGAACATACAAACACCTTGCATGTTGAAAATTTTCGCTATCCAATGGATAACGCTATCTAGGCTTCGTGCGACCGAACCCCCCGGTATTTCGGAATGCACATTGTGATGGACCAAAGAAAGTTCACAACGGCAGAAAACTAATATTTGACTTACTGTCTTATTTCATAGCTTCAGTTTCCACATTAGCATCTTTATTTTTTGTGTGCACTTCCCAGACTGAATACCATCGCATTTTCAAACGATTCAAATCTCATTTGTGGCGGTTTCGAGAACAGTTCTCTTCGCATGTGGACTTTAACTCCTAGGAAGCTGCGAACCTTGAAGTCAGCGGCCGAGTTAGCTCGCATCGATAAGGATGCCGGTATGTCACATAACGTTGTGTGAAATTGCTTTTTGGCACTGAACTATTGCGTTTTGATTCTATACTGGATAGAGGATGTGTTTGAGCGTATTATGGATGACAAAACGGCCGCAGAAACTCGAACGCTGATTGGTCACAGTGGTCCTGTGTACGGGGTCAGTTTTAACGATGATAACTCTCTCCTTCTTTCTGCCTCCGAGGACAAAACTATCAGATTATGGAGCTTGTATACTTATACAAATATCGTGTGCTATAAAGGTCATAATTATCCTGTTTGGGATGTTCAATTTAGGTACGTTGATGAGGTCTTCTTCATGTTTACAAATGGTCGTATATCGGTGATAGGATCTTATTGGATCATAGTACGGTTGATCATCATTTGTATATCCTCATTTCAGTCCCAAAGGTCATTATTTTGCATCCGGTTCTCATGATCGAACTGCAAGACTATGGACAACCGAAACTCCACATCCGTTAAGAATATTTGCTGGTCATTATTCTGACGTCAACGTATGTTTTATTTATGAAGTTCCACACATGTCCCATGATGCTTTTCGTCATTCATAGAAAGTTGCGATTTGTCATTTTTTGATTCTCTTCCCATAGACGATTCGATTCCATCCGAACTGCAATTACATTGCTACAGGATCATGTGACAAAACCGTGCGTTTATGGGATATTACCTCTGGTCGATGTGTTCGTGTGCTCACTGGCCATAAGGTAAGAGCAATGTGCTTGAGCTTGGAGTCTGGAATTAGAAGAAATGATACAATATCGTATGTGTTGTGTTTACGTCTGATGTTTCCGAAATGATTGCTACTTGAAAAAGGGGAATAGCCATATAATGAGTTCAATATGTTGAAGAAGTGGTGAAGAAGGTTCACTTAACTTTCAGCATATTTTTATTTAAGATTTGTGGAAAAGCACATGCCGAACTGCTTGCTATACTTAACTTTAGCCCTGTTTACATATGACCGAGACATGACTGAAGCATTATTAATGCAAGCCTGAGATGCTTTCTGATCTTGTGGCTGAGGCAGGACGGAGGCATGCCTGAGAAGCTTTTCAATGACATAATTCAACATCACCGATAGCCCACCAAAATTTAGCGGCGGTTTGAATTTGACAAAATGATGCTTCGTAATTTGAAAATTACCATAAGCGAATTATGCAGCCATTTTAACAGTTATTTTAAAATACATCAAAGATGGAAGAGCCGGTTTGAAGAAAAAAGAGAAGAATTTGAATTTTAGTCTTTGATTTTTGTAATCTGGACTAGATTTATCAAAAAAATCCCGATAGTTGCGTATTGTATCCATGAGTTTCTTACTTGTATCGTAAACTGATTGGGATTGTTCCATTGATCTTTTACACATGAGCCTTGGATTTGCTTACGTACCTGTAGTTATAATTCACCCGTTCCTCCATGGATTCACCCTTGTACCTATAATTATAATTCATCCTCCCCCCCCCCTTGATTCACCCTCGTACCTATAATCATAATTCACCCGTCCCCCCTTGATTCACCCTTGTACCTGTATCTATAATTCACCCGTCCCCTGATTCAACCTCGTACCTGTATTCACACCTCCCCCTTGATTCACCTCGTACCTGTATCTATAATTCACCCGTCCCATATTGATTCACCCTTGTACCTGTATCTATAATTCACCCGTCCCCCCTTGATTCACCCTCGTACCTGTATCTATAATTCACCCGTCCCCCCCTTGATTCAACCTCGTACCTATAATTATAATTCACCCACTCCTCCCTAGATTCGCCTTCGTACCTACGATTATAATTCACACGTGCTTCTCTTAATCCACTCTCGTACCTATTCAGTTTCGTAACATATTTCTTATGCAGTATCCATTTTTCCTTACCACATCAGGGTGCCATTCATACCTTAGATTTCTCGCCGGATGGTCGATATTTGGCGTCATCAGGTATTTATATATTGTGTCGTTGGCAGGGATGGATTTGTGGGAAAGAGTGCACACAACCCTCCTAGCCTTGGGTACAGAAGGTGCACGAGTGAGTGCTCCGAACAAAATACTGGTATGACAAATAATTAAGCAAAAGCAATCGTGATTAGTGTTTAATGGAGCAGATTTTTAAAAACCTCCCAGTCGTTATGAAAAATTAACAGAATTTAACAAAACTCGTCTGACATGCTACCGTAACAAGTAGAGCACCACTTCTCCCACCACACCCCCTTCCCCACAAACAAAATGTGTCGTGGCCCCATCTTCACATAATCTCAATTTAGGTGTCGATAAAAAAGTCCTGTTGTGGGATATCCCAGAGGCCCGTGCGACCGCTGAGTTCGTTGGACATACTGACACTGTACATGCGTTGAGATTTAGCAGAGATGGTCATATTTTAGCCTCGGGTGAGATTTTTGTTTTGTTCGTATTTTGTGATTCTTCTTTAAAGTCCGTCTATCCTTCTCTTTCTCTGGGCGAACTCACGTGAATGAAATCATTGATCTTTTAGTGATTGTCTGAATTGTATTTTACATTATAAAATAAACACAATGAAACGCGTGCGCTGATTGGTCTAGAGCTGAGTTTGCATTAGCCAGTGCAAAACGCATCTGAGGTCAACTAATCAAATCAATCTATACAATCAATCAGTCAAAGAGAATTTACAGATCGATCATGAATACATTTTAGAGGAAAAATTAAAATGTTTGTCTTTTTTCGCATTATTGTTATTTTATAAAAGAAATAAAAGATGTTTTTCATGTTTGCACAGGCTTATGCAAACCTCGGAGACCTTTGTGAGAACTCTCGAGCAGGTGCAACCCTCGACCTTTGGTCTCGGGCTTGAACTGATCTGCTCTCGAGTTCTCACAAAGGTCTTCTTGGTTTGCAAACACAGTAAACATCTTTTATTTCTTAAGTAAGGTGTAATTTAGGTGCCGATGTCTGGAAAGATAACTATATTTCTTTTCTAAAATTCAGTGGAAGGGTTATGTTCAATCGTTAAAGACACGTTTTCGGAGTTTACAAATATTATCTTTTATATGAAAACATTATTCCCTGAATTCAATTTTTCCCTGGTTCTTCTCAGTCAAAACTCCGTTTGCTGTAGGTGGCACAGACTGTTGTGTGAAACTTTGGAATGCTCAAAATGCATACAGCAAAGAAGACGACGAAGATTTAATGCTGGGGTAAGTGTCGATATCATCCAACTGCATTGTTAAACTTGCTACTTGTATGGTTATTGTTATTGTTAAACTTGCTACTTCTATTGTTATTGTTATTGTTAAACTTGCTACTTCTATTGTTATTGTTATTGTTAAACTTGCTACTTCTATTGTTATTGTTATTGTTAAACTTGCTACTTCTATTGTTATTGTTATTGTTAAACTTGCTACTTCTATTGTTATTGTTATTGTTAAACTTATACTTCTATTGTTATTGTTATTGTTAAACTTGCTACTTCTATTGTTATTGTTATTGTTAAACCTATACTTCTATTGTTATTGTTATTAAACTTGCTAATTTCTATTGTTATTGTTATTGTTAACTTGCTATCTATTGTTATTGTTATTGTTAAACTACTTCTATTGTTATTGTTATTGTTATTGTTAAACTTTTCTATTGTTATTTATTGTTATATACTCTTCTATTATTGTTATTGTTATTGTTAAACTTACTTCATTGTTATTGTTATTGTTAACTTCTACTCTATTGTTATTGTTATTGTTATTTGCTACTTCTATTGTTATTGTTAACTTGCTACTTCTATTGTTATTGTTATTGTTAAACTACTTCTATTGTTATTGTTAAACTTGCTACTTCTATTGTTATTGTTAAACTTGCTACTTCTATTGTTATTGTTAAACTTGCTACTTCTATTGTTATTGTTATTGTTAACTTGCTACTTCTATTGTTGTTGTTATTGTTAAACTTGCTACTTCTATTGTTATTGTTAAACTTGCTACTTCTATTGTTATTGTTAAACTTGCTACTTCTATTGTTATTGTTAAACTTGCTACTTCTATTGTTATTGTTAAACTTGCTACTTCTATTGTTGTTACTTGTCAAACCTGCATTGTTATAGCATGTTCAATGATTGAGCTTGTGTTGTTTAATTTTGGGAAAGAATATTTTTCTTGTTTGTGATGTCAATGATCGTCTCGAGTGAAAAATTTTTGAAAATTTGATCTAGTTTTGACGAAGCTCGTTGCTTTGCTTAACAATCCAGAAGAGCTTCAATATATAAAAGTTGTTTCGACTTTTGTCGTGTATGTGAGGCTTGCAAAACGGTGTGCGAGATTTTCGAGCAAAGAACAGGCTTATTTTATAGGCATGAGGCATGTCTTTTCTCTATTCAACAGAATCCTGTACATAGAGCTGCCCTTACTACCCGACCCAAAGCTCGTGATTATTTTTGACTTTCAAACGAATAAACGCTTATGTCAATAATGAATAAAGCTTAATTAGCGTTCGTATTTTGCTTTAATTTCATCTCGAGATTAATTTCCTTTGATTTTTTAATTCACTGCTGAGAGTAGGTGATAAATAACGTGTGGATGTTATTTTCTTGCTACCTTTCTAGTGAGGAGTTATTAGAAGAAATGGGGAGTGAAGCTTGGGGCTAAATATAGGCAATACGTCATATTCACCTGTGTTTTTCAGTTTCCACCTGTTATTTGGGCTATCGTTGAACAAAGTTGTCATAACAATTTACGTAACACATTGAAACATTATTGTCTGAGGATGCATTGAGTAAAGACGAAGCGTCACTTTAAAGCATCTTTCTATACCAGGGGTCTCCAAACTTTACAGCCAGAGGGCCGCATGAACTTTCATCCAGCATGTTGAGGGCCGACGAACCGTATACCGCTGGTCAAAGAGCGAATATTTTAATAAAACTCTTGTTAGTTGGCTTGCCTCATAACGTGAACTTTCTGCACAAAGTTTATTTTGTTTAATAATATTATTATTTTTTTTCTTAAGTGTCTCTGCGGGCCGGGTTGAGAGGCCTAACGGGCCACATCTGGTCCGCGGACTGTAGTTTGGAGATCCCTGTTCTATACTCGTCTACTTTCGTTTATTTTTGTGCCCCTACTTAACGCTTTATACTGGAGACTGGGCACGAATGTGGACAATTCAGAGTGCGGCGGCTATGATTTTTGATTAACGTCTAGTATGGTATTCGTTTTTTTTTAATTCTTTCAAACCAAGTTCCATATTGTATTTATTTTCAGAATGCAGCATTCAGGTCGTACGAAACAGGTGAACGAATTAGCATCGTTTCCCACCAAGTCTACTCCCGTACATTGCCTTCATTTTACCTGGAGAAATCTTCTGTTATCCGCTGGACCGTTTGATCGTTGACGCGTACGTATCCTGGAAGACCGCAAGCCAATCATCTCAATTCTCAAAATGAATGATGACAACTCAAGAAGCGTGCTTGGTGACTGATGAAATGAATACAAAAGGTAGTTGGTCTGCTTGACTTCGGAAAAGGTATGCTTCTTCTAATCATTGATATGAACACGCTTATGCTGGTGATGCACACGTAAGTGGCTGCTTATATTTAAGCAATGAGCTAGAAATACAGTGGGGGTACTTACAACCGAACGTTAGCGCGAAAAAAACCCAACTCTTCCGAACTGTTAGTTGCTCGTTTTACGTGTAAATTATGTCAAATGTTTCGTTTCGAAGCCGATGTAACTTGAAGGAACGAAATATTATAGCCGTTAAAGGCCGCTGTCAACCTTATCATGATTCCTTTTCGCTTTTATTTATTACCATCTGTTGAATTGTCATGTGATAGAAGTAGGAAGTTGAATGTTTTTTCTGCTTCCTTGTATATTAAACTGACGGCAAACCATTTGAATCTTGCATTATGGAAATGGCATTTAGCTTTGTTTGTCGAAGGTGCTTAAACCGTCTTTCCTAAATTAATTGAACGGGCTGCACGTGGCCGCCCGAATGTTTCAATGTTTACATAAGATATACGCATGCGTTGTGTTTAATGAGAATAACTTTTTACTTGGCACTTGACAGCACTATCTAGAAAGATGAAAGATACAGATTGACTATTTTTAAAACACAAGAGAGTAAAAAGGGTTTCGACGCTACAGGCGAGCGTACTGCTCGTGTTGTTGCACGCCTTTCGATATTTTTTTCATTTAATCATCGATTGCAACGGTAAATGGCGTCATTAATCGATCATTACGGCGTGGATTACAATAGGAAGCACATGTGTGCGCTTTTTTATTCCGGTTGAAAATGAAAAATGTGATATTTCACAATGCTTTTGCTCTTTTTTTCCTGTCTAATGAGAAAATTTACTTTTGTCCTCTTCGAATTGAATAATGCACATGTAAAATGCTTGGATTTTTTTCTACCCGAAGGTCGACCTTAAACGTTTGAAATATTCGAAAAAAGTTGCCTAAATGCGTGCCGAAGGAAACTCTTCGGCAAATTTGAATTTGAGGATTCGGCTTTGTTATCGTCGAAGAATTATATTTCTTCAAGCATTAAGTAAGGCAATCTCATTGGTTGATATTGCGCGCAGTGTCGTTTTGTGACAAAAAGGCCTTTACTTTATGCAAATGTCATGAATCATTGGACCGATCTCTGTATACGTAGTCATAAGAACAAGAGGCTGCGTTACGCTGTTGCCGTGACTCCCCGCACTCAGACGTCACGAAGAAGTCAGATTGCTAGACGGGCTTGTGGTTTCTTGCTGGTTTTACCACGATTGAAAGAGCATTTTACGGCGTTTCTTTTTCTTGGGAAATCCGTTCGTGTAAAGGTGAGATATGCTGCAAAATTTCACAGTCTTTTCTTCTTTATTTTGTCTTGGTCCATTGAATAGAACTTCGTCTTTATCGTCGAGCTACATGCGAGTACGGCTGTTCGTTGATGGCGAGCGATTTAGCGGAATTTGCTTTATTAGCTGCTAATTGTAACAGCTTGCCCCGACAGCTGTTTTTCGAAGGATAATTGAAGTATTTTTCAATCTCAAAGTTTACCAAATTACATTCTAATTGTTCGAAAGCATCGGTATTTGCCACGTTCTTTAGGAGAATGTATCGAATCGCATTGATACAAATTTGAAACATTTGCCACAAGTGCTACACAAATTATTTAAAAAACAACGCGTGGCCCGAATATTAACTTAATCCCTCGGGTAAATATGACATATAAGTGTTTCCCAATCGTTAAGAACCAAATATTTGCCGGCCTCGTTAGTTTTTATTGCATTTATAATACGGCAGTTGCAAAGAAACAGAACCGGGCTTCACTGTTTTAGTTATAATTTCATTGCTATAGCGTGTGTGACGGGTCAGAACGCGGCGTTCCTGCTTTCGTGATCTGTTTTAAAAGTTATGCTGTTTCAACGATACCTTACAAAATTTTTATAAAGAGATTTATTCCTACTGAATAAAGAGGACAAATGACTAATTGTAAAACCATTCAATATATTTCGGTCTTTCGAAATGAGACGTTTTTATTTGCATGAAATCACGCAAGATCAAGTCATTTTCAACTGACGTTTTTTCAAGTGATGTTTGAAGTTTGAAGGCGAATCATTGACATCTCATTGGAGGAAATGTATTTGTCGGTTTCGCGAGCAGATTTTTGCTGTTATTTGCTTGAAGAATTCGGTTAGAGGAACTTGCCCGTTCTGGTTGATTCGTTCTTTCCACATAAGGAAAAAGAGCTCTTTGATTTGAGTAAATAAATTCATCAGTCGAGTCATGGCGACGTCGGTTGCCGGTAACGACGCCATACTGATTGGCTCCCCGCTACCCGTAGCCATAACAACTGCACATCAGCGGTCCACGCGCGTGGAATATGAACACACACGCGGTTCTCACACTTATCGTTTTCGATAAAGATATGAGTTGTTTATTTGCACGTAGAAACTGAGATAAACGTGCAGCCATGATCCATGGTTGGTCTTGGACGAACGTGAACGCCGAGAACATAATGGAAGGGAGAATTCCATCTTGAGTACAATGTATGTCGATCACTGTGGAGTCAGTAAATTATGAAAGGCATAAACATTTGTTGTATCGTGAACATGTATATCTCTGCTCTGACTTATGTATGATCTTTCAAATTATGAAATGTAATTTGACAATATTTTTAGTCACGAGGATTTTTCCCCCATGTTTCATAGGATTACGCTTTCGGGAAAACGCGATTTTGGATTTCTTAATTGTAAGTTTTGCCGAGAAATTAGAATGTTTTTTTTTTATGGGAAAAGCGCGCTTTGACCCGCGAACCGCAAAAGTGATCTTTAAACACACGAGATATGCCACCATATAGCATATTGATCCGAATTCTCATGAGCGTTTCAGAATATGTTTTTAATCGTGCCGTATTCGTATGATAAAAGCGAAATTCCGTTGTCGGTAATATTTCCGTGGTCTTCGACACATTTTGGTGTTTTTAGTCAATAATCACTTTAAAGGGGCCGTGAAAATTTTGTGAGGTCTATTACACTTATTAAACGACCCTGACTGAGCACTTACTAGTATCGAGTGATGGAGGTTTTTGCAATGCATTCTAAATTATTGTTCCAACGAGTACACTGTGATTTTGTTTTGAAAACTGCAGCCAAAATGTATAAAATGTTTATTCTTTGGCTAATTTGCGATAGTTGACATAACAACGTAAATCCTAATTCTAATATGCCATGTAATCATTTTAATTTATCGTGTTGTGTTGTGTCGTGTTTCTCTCATACGAATAAGTACGTCAATAAAAGCACATTCCGTTAAAAGTCAATTTTACCTTAATGAAAGACTGCGTCATTTATTAATGCAAAGAGATGTTTGTCCGTATCTTATATATTTTTATCTATTTCATTTCCCACTGTCGCTTGGTCGTAAATATATTGGCAAGAGTTTCAATTTACGTTTCCTGAAGAGCTCTTCTCAATTTTTCTCTTTCAGTATTGTATCGCGTTGCATATTTTGCTCTTTTTTGAGAATTTGAAATGTTGGCATTTTCGATATAAACCATAGCACTTTAATCAGCTTTATATCGTATATGAGCCCGTTTATGGGTAAAATTATCCTGCACATGTGCCCACGTGGATAAGTTTGAAATACTTCCTATCTTGTTGCCTCAATCGCTTGGAAAAGTTTTTTGTCTAATCTTACTTTCTTGCATTGTTTAGTGAAATTTTATAAATGAGGATGGAAAAATCTCAGATTGTTGTGAAGCAGCCACCTCAACTGAAACAGATAAGGTCAGTAAGTGTAGCCAGCAATCCGGATGAAAAAGACAAAGTTAAAGTGAACTTGAGCAATAGTTGTTTCAACGCCATACCAGTGGGAAAGAAACCATTAGATTTGGATCTGACCAATCTCAATTGGCTGCAAAATAACAACTTGCTCAGAGGAATCCATTCTGGAAATAAGACGGGCTGTATATCTCCACCACAAGATATGGATATGGATTTATCCTTTGTGCCGGGGACACATATTCTAGGTGGTGCTGTTAAACACAACAGCTCATCAAAGATGAACCTTAATAATGTCAAGAACAGTCCTCGCAAGCCGCCTTACTCATTTTCTTCGCTTATATTTATGGCAATTGAGGATTCTCCTAACAAGAGATTGCCTGTGAAAGACATTTATCAATGGATTACAGAAAGATTTCCGTACTTTCGAAATGCTCCATTGGGATGGAAGAATTCTGTGCGACATAACTTGTCATTGAACAAATGCTTCAAGAAAGTTGACAAGGATAAGGGACAGGTAACAGATGTGATAGTTATGGCAAATAAAACGAATTAGTATAGACATTATGCGTATGTTAGAAGGAACTGTAAATTTCACATTTCTTGTTTGCTTGACTTCGACATAGCTAAAGAGTGTGGTTTTATGAAAATGTCAATATTTTACAATAGGCAATGGGATCTTTATGGTGTGTCGATGTGGACTATCGACCAATCTCATGCAAGCACTGAGAAAAACACCTTCATTTCATCCTTATGTTCAGTGGACCACACCTCCGCCTTCACCACAAAGACTAAGTGGTTCAACAGCCAGGGCTTTAGAGTCAACTCTACTACAGAGTATGTGATCTTGTATATGAATGATTTTGTATGATTATGCTGTCCCTCTAATGATCCTTCCATTATTTAGGCATCACTCAAAGCGGAAGGAGCACACCAAATGTTGATCCAGAAGCCGAGGCAGCTGCGGTTGCCACTATGTGTTTGATGGGTGGTAACAGGTCCTCCGAGGATGTTGAATCAATCAAAGTCAAATCAAGGCCCCAGAGAAGTACTTTCTCTGATTTACTTTCAGTTGCAGTCTCATTGGATAAAGCTCAAAGAAGGTTAGTTATGTAATTATTTTGAAGATAATAGGTGTGATATTGTAAACAGTTATGTGCATATTTATGTGTAGAAAGCTACTTTATACCGAAGGTAGCGTTCCAGTTATATTCAGGTCAATGTTTAGCATTAGACGCGTGTGGTACATGAATAACCAAATTTTGATATGACAATTTGTCATTTTCGCAGTCGGAAAAAAGGTCGAGGGATGTCGCCAAGCTCGTCAATGGACAGTGAATACGAGTTCTATCAACACTGCTCCGACGAATCAGACAGGGAGCACGAAAGCGAGGCCATGGACTCTTTAATAAACGACGATTCGCTAGAAGATAGCGGCTACGGTGATAGTCTTCCCAAGTCTCGATCATCAGAAAAGAACTGTGATGTCATTGATGGCGCGGACGCCTTACTGGAACTAGCGAGTAAGGCGTGTGCCCTGAAGCGAATGTCAATTAGAGAGGGGAAAGGGGGCAGTGCTTCGTGATTGGTGATGATTGAGACTGGAAGACATGAATTTGGAGAGGAACGGTTGTTGCCTTGATTGGCGACGTGATTTGAATCCATGGGAGGCTTATAGGAGCTGAACGACCAGAATTTCTGTACGGCGATCAGGGATAAGTGTACGATTGAATGGTATCCAGTTCTCTGCGCATCTCGATGAAGGGGGCGTGAATGGTATCCAGTTCTCCGCGCATCTCCATGAAGGGTGCAATATATTCTCTTCTGGGTGAATACAACATGGACTTAAATAAACATGGTCTCGTATAGTTGTACGATATAAAACACTACTTTTATAGCTGAGTGTTGTGGTGCAAGTGACGGTTGCAGGGTTTTAGCATATTTTTTACGCACGCGCAATCGTTACAGTTCGTTCACCAAACTACTGCATATACCTACTTGGTGCCGGTTGCACGAATCCTGGATAGCGTTGTCCATTGGATGATGAACGTATGAAAAAAAAATGGTCTTATTTTCTTCAGAAAAATTAAAACTTCTAATGTTGTAAAAAATTGCAACCTTGTCGTGTTGGATTGTAAAGAAGTTGATTTGAATGGTATCCGGGCTTCGTGCTAATGGTGTTCGTTCACATCAGCTTGCATGTGGTTGGCTAACTTTGTGCGCTTGACGTGATGTGGTTAAGGCCTGTTTTAGGATATTTTAATTACACTGAGGATGTAATTTGTGTAACCAATGAATACTTATTTAATCGAATCGCATTCGTTAATGAAACAAAAGCAAAATAGATATATTTTTCACGTGACATTATACAGTATACGCGCGAGAAAAATCTTTTGTCTTCATCTTTTATTTTAGTATATGTGTTCACCATTCTCGGGAAGCGCGGTTACAAAAATAGCTTTGCGCGTCAATGCACTGGGGCAAGTGTCAAAGATGTTAAATGAATTTCATTCGTGAAATCACAACTCTTCATAGAAGCGAATTGATGATTTTATTTAATAATAAGTCTTGCCAAATTTTTCGAACACGGGAATAGGCGAGACCACGTTGCGAAAACGCTGAAAGAGAAAAGAAACACATCAAATTAACGCGTTTTAAATCGCAAGAGTAAAAATCATGCGATTTTTCACGCTTCCGTAACGAGAGACGGCTCTCCGACGTCTTTTATATTTCTTGAATGAAATCCAATTAATTAGTCACTTTCGTAAATAAATAAGCGGCGGCTTGCGATATCACATGACCTATATTCCCCCAACTTATTCTTAGCATCTTACATCAATTACCTTGTTAATATGATGGCCATCACGCAATTCGTCTCGGAAACTTTTCGTTCCATAAGGCAAACTAAAACACGCAATGTTAAACATTACTCCTCATCGTAACTGCAGACCACGAAGCGCTGGCAGAGCAATTTTAGCAATTTGATTTGCCTTCAATTAGCGTTCCGCTGCGCTTTAAGCAGTTTCCCGCGATTTGCTGGTACCGGTAGTTTTGATACTTTACCAGCTGAAGACGGATTGTTCAAAGATAAATGAAATTGGTACGGGTAGTTGTTTAGTCCGTGTCACACGTCTTGTGAACCGTATTTTTATTAACACACACCGTGAATGTCTGGTGCACGGAATTCAAAAGTACGACTGGTTTCATTTGCAATGTCGCGGTTTTACAGGCATCTGTATTTACTCCTGTTGTGATGATTTTCACGTGTCCACTCAATACGAGAATCCCAGATTTTCAACGAAATGAATATTGTAATGCCCTGAAATTTACATAACAAGACAAAAACTTGCTGCTTGCCACGCAAATGTATTTAAAACACGAATTCGTTCTGGTGGTCTGTTTATGTTGAGTTTTGATGAATAAACGATGTGTTGCCATAGTGAGCTTTGATGAATAAACGATGTGTTGCCATAGTTTTGAATTTAAGTAATAAAAGATGTTTACTGTGTTTGCGCAGGCGCATGCAAACCGAGGAGACCTTTGACAGAACTCGAGAGCTGATCAGTGTAAGCCTGAGACCGAACTTTGAGGGTTGCACCTGCTCGAGAGTTCTCGCGAAACGTCTCCCAGGTTTGCAATGGCTTATGCAAACACGAAAAACATCTTTTACTCCATTATAAAGTAACAATAATGCAAAACAGATGAATTTAAAGCAAGCGTTTTAGTTTTTCCTCTAACGCGAATTCATGATTTTATTAATTGATTGAGCTCAAATCGATTAGCATTGGCTAATGAAAACTCAGCAACGAACCAATCAGCGCGCGCGTTTTATTGTTGATATTATACTTGTGCTACATAACGTATATTCTTTATAACACGAGCTGTGGCGTACGATAATCAAAAGGCGACTTACCTTCCAAATTTGGACGTTGTATGTAGCAAAGGACTGTACGGTTTCTCGACATGAGTAAACGGTTTAAACCTAACGATGTATAGAATAGAACTTAGCGTTATAACGTCGTTGTGATCTTTGATAGTTTAGACAAAAAACCATGACCAGCCGACAATTTAAAAAAGTATATGTTCTTCCATCTTACAAATTTCGGGTAGACTTGATTATTCTTACAATTGATTAAGAATTTCAAATCAAGTAGAGCTTTCTCATAGCGTCGTTGTGATCTTTGATAGTTTAGACCAAAAACCATGACCAGCCGACAATTTAAAAGTATATGTTCTTCCATCTTACAAATTTCGGGTAGACTTGATTATTCTTACAATTGATTAAAATTTCAAATCAAGTAGAGCTTTCTCATAGCGTCGTTGTGATCTTTGATAGTTTTTTAAATTGTCGGCTGGTCATGGTTTTTGGTCTAACCTATCAAAGATCACAACGACGCTATGAGAAAGCTCTACTTGATTTGAAATTCTTAATCAATTGTAAGAATAATCAAGTCTACCAGAAATTTGTAAGATGGAAGAACATATACTTTTTTAACGTTATAAATACTGGCAATAAATTGCAACGTAACATAACAGTGATATAACGACAAACAACATGACTGATTCTGCTACAAATTGAATGTGAACTCACGGGACGTCAACGACTTGAGCGATCCAATCTTCCGCTTTCATCTTCTCTCTTAACATGTAAAACAGTTCACGTAAAGGCTCAGATTTCAACTTCGTGTATGACGTCAGTCATATTATGTTATTTTGAGTATTCATAATTCAATTATCGTTGTTTCGTCATCGTCTTATTAAAAACGCGATGTTGTGGTTTATAGTTTGTTTTCCATTCAAACAAAAATTTTCGCTACCCAATGTTTGGGACGTTATTTTCATACTTTAACTAATTTTTGGCTTGCCTTTAAAATACGTAGCATGGGAAGGGGGGGTATAGGATGAGAATGAACTACTGACATACACACCTTCCTTCTCTTAGTGAAGTGTATAACGTCCGCTTATGTAATATGGGAAGGGGGGTATAGGATGAGAATGAATTACTGTTATACACACCTTCCTTCTCTTAGTGTAGTGTATGACGTCTGTATATGTAATATGGGAAGGGGGGGTATAGGATGAGAATGAATTACTGTTATACACACCTTCCTTCTCTTAGTGAAGTGAATGACGTTTGTACACGTAAGGTCGGACTCAAAGGGCGATGACGTTGATGACTAACTTCCTCTAGTGTACGAAACGGTCCCTGCGTATAATTGTAAACAGATATCTTTTTCCTTCTACATAGCCACTGTATACATGCTAGGCTGGGGCAAATTACCTGAATAGCCTTTCCAATCGGAGGTAAAGAAATTCTTTCGTCATTTAAGATTTTCGTTGTAGAGTTTGCCGTGTTCTGTATCTTGCATTTGCGATGCGGTCTGTGGCGAAGTCGTGTGGATTTAATATCCATTTCTTTCGCTGCCAGTTCCGGATGTAAACGTGTCTTGTAAATTCCAGGAACTTGAATGGTGCTCACTAAGTAGTGATGACGCTTGTTGAACTCTTCTGTTTTTGCCTAAAAGGATGGAATTTCTTGTTGATGAGATAATTTACATTGTGAAGCATCTTCGAGAAATGTAACATTGCGGAAGAAGCAGTTTTGAAGGAAAGATTACGCCGCTCAACGGTTTGCTTTTGTCGTGAGTTTTGTAAAGCTTTTAGTGACAAAGATCTTTTCAGGCTGTATTGACTCAACTATGCTACAGGAAGGCGAATCTTTAGGTATACGTTCCCATTCTTGTATCGCGCCTTTATTTTATCATTCTTCCTACAATTTAGCTTGGGTCAGGTCTATTGTTATAAATATATATATATTGATCTTAGGAATCACTGCTTTCACACAGACGAAGCCAGGTCGATTTTTTCATCACCCGTGCACAAATAATTTTCCTATTATTCATTGGAGAACGTTCAAAAAGTTTGTCTTCTAAAATGAATGGTTTTAAAGTAAATGGTTTGAACCCGGGAGTATCGTTACATGTTTGTAAATGTAGATCAACAAAAACGGTCCTTCTCAGGACTATACCAACGTGGACGAACTACATTTACAAACATGAATGGTTGTATTGAAGGAAACACGTTGGGCGACTGCATTGCAACTCTTTAGTTAGTACTACATTGTCTCAGTAAGCCAGAAGTGGAAAGAAACAATAAAAGGGAAGTGGAGTAGAGGGGATCAATTAAGGATGTAGGAGGATGGATAGAGCAAGATTCCCGGAACTGGCGTAAATGGGGGGGGGGAGGTCGTAGCTAACGACGGACCAGTCCCTACCTCTCTTCCCCGCCTCGTGAGGGATAATATTTAGGCGTAGGAAATTGTTACTGGCCGCCCAACGTTACTATTAATTCACATAAATCTGTTCATTTGTTACGTATATATTTCGCGAAAATACCTGTTCAACCATCTGTTGTTTTATTTCTTTCTCCCGGTCCAAACTGATTCTCCACATTTTCAGTTCCTTTCTACAATACAAGTTATTACATTACACTAATTCATCTTGTTCAGAGGAAGACGAACGAACGTAATATAAGATCAATATAGTTCGGGAAATCACTGAGCTCAAGTCATGCGGTGCCACCATTGTCACATGACACGCATGCACCGGAAGTTGCGTGATTAATAGTTCTATTGTGCTTACGAACCTAACAATGGAGTTCTTCTCTTTAAGCCCCTCCATGTAGCGTTTCCTGTTGTAATAGTTGTGAACGTACTTTCGAGCATAGTAGCCTGTTGGAAAATATCTCGCGGTCAGTATCTCAAGACGTTCATTATTGCACAATAAATGAACAATTTACAATAAAATTTATAAAAAAACAATTCTTTATTGTGCGTGTGGTTAATTAAACACAAACCTCGCCAACGTTTTTGAATCTGAAAAAAAGATTGAAAGAATTCGGAATTTGTTTGTGAAAGAAGATCACAGAACCGTCTCGTTGGTGACTTGAACAGTCCCATACCGTTGTTGCCATGGTGTTATAGAATTGCTCGCGCATTTTGTTTACTTCATAATCAACCGTACGTTGGTAACGTTTGCGATCAAGATGACCTCTATATTGCTTCTGTATTGTCGTTGCACAATTATTGAGGAATCTAGTGGAATATAAAGATAAATATTTGGCTTGCTTCCTTGAAAATTGTAACAATTGCACTAAGGCTTGTCTTCAAATACGACGTAGTTTTGAGTTTTGTTGAAATGCGTTTTTTCATGTTTCTTTTGCGTGACTTGCACGACGGAAGGTCGTGCTTTGTTACATAACTTTGCCGGAAAAGCAACTATTTTCCGTTGAAGGTTATGACCATGGATTTTTACATTTTTTCATTGTATATCGTTTGAATCTCTTTGCGAACAAACTCATTTTCCATGTCTTACTTAAGATAACTCCTGGCTTTGATCCCACGGAACCAGCTTTGAATACGTATTGCAGCTTTGTGCTCTTTTATCCTGTGCCTTTCAGCCTCTCTAAAGAAACATAACATGCAAATGATTTTTGGATGAGAGTGAAGAAGAGAGTTCTTTAGCTCTTTGACTGAGTGACAATAAACACTAAATAATCACTTTCAAAATATATCATGCTCATTTCGCAAAAAAATAGCTATAGCAACGCTTTATTCGCTGTTCAAAAGCGCACTTATACTCTAAATTTAATACAGTTGTACCTTATTCGCTCAAATAATGCGTCTTTTATCGATAAACTATCCAATTTTATCCGTATAAAGGTCGCCATTATTGTGTATTGTTAGTCTGTTGTCATGGATACTTCTTTCCATCGTCCATATTAATTTTACATACAATTAAATTCAACGCGTTTCTCGCACTCGTTTTTTTTTTTCTTGATTTAGTTTTTTTTCATACATAAAGGAATTTTTTTGAGTATTTCGACAAAGTGTTTAGTTTGAATCAGCAACTTAAAAAAGGAAAGGGAAAAAACATGCAATGACGTCATTTAAAAATTTGCCATCGCTTTGCGACGTCATGTCGAATTAGCTCGAGTGTCACATGAGTAAGACAGACGAATTTGATTGGCTAATGGTGATGTAATGAATTTTATTTAGCACGTTGTAGTGCTAGCTGGCGTAATGGACGCAAAGCATATTGAATGAAAAGTGGGCTTTTTTCCGCCGTACTTCTTGCTATAAAGGCGCAGCAATGCTGACTAAATAATAAAAATCTCTTGAACATTTGTGTATAAATTTTTGAGCTTTTATTTTAGTGCAAATCCATTTTTCTGGCCTTCACTTATTTAAGTTTGCTACTTCGATTCCTTTATTTGTAAACAAAGGCAGCGAAGGTTCTTCGATTTATCATCAAACGAAAGGATCCCGTGTTGAACCTTGATGGTGACTGCTTGTGAACAACGTTGGGGTGAAATTTTTGATACTGGATCGACGACTTGTACGGGGATGCACAGAAAAGGAGAAACGTCGTCGTCAACTGGATCTCGCTCCGTTGGTGGGAAAACCGGCGAAATGTCAGGATGTCTTTTATCGAAGTTACAGTCCATTCTACCTTGTGAACTGTCCAAACTCATCTCGGAAGATGATAAGAAGGCAGACGATCTAGTCCTCATTGACTGTCAATCTTTCATGGAATATAGTTCAAGTCATATAACCGGGGCGTACCATTTGAATTGCACTGGGATGCTGAAAAGACGATTGACACAGGGGAAACTTAAAGTGCATGATCTGTTTTCATCAGCGCAAGGGAAAGAAAGATTTCTGGAGGCAAAGACAAGCAATAGGCCTGTTATCGTTTATGACAATACTTGTGATACAGCCGAATTTAGTTCGTCGTCAAAACCCATTACTCTAGTCACGAAATTTCTCTTAAACGAAGGCACTAACACATTAATTTTACAAGGTGAGTTTCTAGCTGGTTTTTTTTGGCAATGAACGAAAAAAGACTCGGTGAAAAAGGGAAGGAAAGTTTTTAATGCCTTGTCTTCAACTAGGGCATGTTGCAGTGATATTATCATTCAACGCACATAGATGATTCAGTTGATTGCAAAGAAGGTGCAATCATTTCAGTTGAAAATAAGTTCATTTTTTATGTCGATTGACTTGATCATTTCTAGTGTCACAAATCAACATGCCCTGTATTATATAGTTCATTTTTCATTGATGACACGGCAACTATTTGCCAGTCATGGTGTGAGTCAGCTGAACATGACACCGAATGCTGAAAAGGCAAAAATATTTATGTAAATAAATGGCAATTTACACAATTACTCACGATTTTTGAAAAAATTTTTGACAGGTGGACTTCGAGAGTTTGTGCAACATCATCAAAATCTTTGTGAGTCGGTACGCAAGGCGGCGAAGGATACTCAACCTGATCGTGTAACCTTAGTCAGAGCTACGGATAAGCTAAGCACCCAACTAAGCAAAATAGAATGTCCTAGTAGCGTAGCTGATTGTTCTCCTGTATCAGAAATAATCCCCTTTCTATATATTGGCAATAAGATTAGTGCTTCAGATGAAACTCTAATTGATAAACTAAACATAAAATATGTTCTCAATGTAACTAAAGACCATCCTAATTACTTTGAAAACCGACCGGAGCTCATCTATAAGAAAATCTCTGTTAATGACTCGAATAAGGAAGATATTGGAGTTCATTTTGAGGAAGCTTTACAATTTGTTGGTAAGGAGTTTTTTATGTATCATTTGGGAAAGCTGAAAGAATATTTGACAAATTCTTATCAAATGTAAATTTCAATGGCTTTACTTTTTTTCCATATTTCTGTGATATGTTTCATTCCATAAATGTGATTGGCTGTAAAAACTCTTAGCTTTTTGAGGAATTCTTGCTCTTTGTCTTTTATAACAATTATAAATTCCTTTCCACCCAGTCATTTATCTGGATAATTGAATTGCTCTCGGCACCGCTTCGGAAGCGTCCGTTCATTGATATACTTTTGACGTATGTGTTTTCATGTTTGTGGTATAGATGAAGGACGTCGAAAAGAAAAAGGAGTTTTAGTTCATTGTCAGGCTGGCATTTCAAGATCAGCTACCATTGTTATTGCGTATCTTATGAAACATGAAAGATTAACGTTAAACGACGCTTACAAACTTGTGAAGGAGAAGCGACCTGTAATTTCGCCGAATCTCAACTTTATGGGGTCGTTGTTGAAGTTTGAGAAAACGTCTTTGCGATAAGTTAGCGATTCCTGGTTTTTTCATTTTCATTTTTCCTGCATAAAGTTGATGTTTACGACTTCTTAAATTCTTCCCGGTGGCATGCAATTGCGGAAATGAACGTTTCAAATGTGTTCCGTCGCTTTAGAAATTTTGAATCTTCGTCAATATGAGTTCAAAGTTTTCAATAGTTTAGTTTTGTGAAAATTAATCGTCGAGTGGACATTTGTTTTCGTGCTCATTTTCTATTTAAATTATGTTAATCTCTCTGGCTAAGCTAATCTTATATGGGTGTAAATCATAAAAGGACTCACATGTGTAAAAAGTGTGTATATTGATTAAAATAGGAACATGTAACAGCAGATATTGTAGTAACGCTTGGGTGTCGAATCATTTTGCTTTCGTGTGCTTAATATCTCGCTTAATTTGCTTATTTCATGAATTTAAACTAAGCGTTTTTTACCCTTCGGTTTGTACGTGTATCTCGCAATGCTACAACTCCTGTTCGCTTGGATTGTATGTAAAGCTTGTTGGAAATAAATTTTGTTGAAAAAAAAATTTGCGACAGCCGACGTTTTGTCTCAAGTTAGTCGAAAATCTATGTTATATTTCAAAATGGACCGATTTTCTTCATGAGTCTTAACGCATCAAAGTGAAACTACTGATATTGATGGCTATCTGTAGTCGAGTTTTCTAGCCTTTTATGGCGCAAATATCAGCTAGGCCTCTGGTGTCCCTCGTTTAAAGAAGAATGCAGAGACTTGCCAGTATTTTCCAGTCGCCATAAATAAATTAGGACTTCTCAGATATTGTTTGGTTGACTTTCAGATGCAAGAGATCTTAATCGCTTTATCCGGTAGTGTAAATTTTTTCAGATAATATTTCTTCGAATTGATGAACTGATGAGCCTGGTTTTCAAGCAAACAGCTGAGTCTTTATGGAAAATTAATGTTTCGCCCAGTTTCATCGCCGAAGTTTACAACTGAGGGCAGACATGTTTGTAAATGTAGATCGTCCAGGTTAGTATAGTCCTGAGAAGGACTGTTTTTGTTGTTGTTGACTGACGTTTCGACAACCTTAGCGGTAGTCATCTTCAGAGTCAAAAAATGACTATACTATACTTTTTTTTTGACTCTGAAGATGACTACCGCTAAGGTTGTCGAAACGTCAGTCAACAACAACAAAAACAGTCCTCAGGACTATACTAACCTGGACGATCTACATTTACAAACATGTAACGATACTCCCAGGCTCAAACCATTTACTTTAGAGGGCAGACAGTTAAAATTTAAAAAATTTACGACAATTATGCTCATTTTTGACAATCGGCGCATTTCCGACCATCGGTTAAAGGGAAATGCGTTCTTCCTTTAACATTTTACCAGAAGCACCTGTAAAATATTAATTTGTTATGCCAATGGACATATCAATAAGTTTAAACTAATAGTTGCGTCATCACTTAAACTACATTAATATTTAACTGATGCAACAATTCTAACTTTCGCTTCCGTAAAAATAGAGGTGATCTGACTTCGTCCTCGATTAACGCGATTGTTTAAAAAAAAGATTCTTAAAAGACTATTTGTCATCTCTCATGTTTGTCTCTCTAGATTTGAACAGATTTATCAGATTACTATATACTGTAGGTTTCGTTATTGGAAGATTAATGAATTTCATTTCGATGGCAGGCGGTAAAGATGTTAGAAAAAGAAAACAATGGGATTTGAAGATCGAAATAACGCGAAAATAGTGCGTACATGTCAACTGTATTGGCCATCAGCCTTCGAGAATGACTGTAAGATATATTTTGCTATGTGTTTTACCTCTTGAACTTTGGCTTTGTTCCTACCATTATTTTGAGCATATGACGTGCTGAGTTGTAGTTCCTTCCATCCGTTTTTGCTTTTAGCATGTTATAGCTCTCGTTTATGCTATCGGTTTTAGCTTGAAGCATTTTACACAGCTCTTGTTCCTTCTAGCTCAGGGGTCTCCAAACTACGGCCCGCGGGCCAGATGCGGCCCGTTGGGCTTCTCAATCCGGCCCGCAGAGGCACTTCAGAAAAAAATAATATTATTAAACAAAATAAATTTTGTGCAGAAAGTTCACGTTATGTCGCAAGCCAACTAGCAAGAGTGGCTTACGTCAATTTTTCTCCCAACTTCCTACTTCCGTTTCAAGCACACTGCGAAATTTAAAAAGCTGAAGGATAACGTGGAAATTTTTTATATTCTTCGGCCCTCAACATGCTGGATGAAAGTTCATGCGGCCCTCTGGCTGTAAAGTTTGGAGACCCCTGTTCTAGCTTGTAGCATGTTACAGCTCTTGTTCGTTACATCCGTTTTAGTCTGTAGCTTTTACAGCCCTACTCCCATACTCTCTGTGCTTTTTCCAAGAGTATTTCACAGTAGCTTATTTGTTTTATCTTTCGATTATTTTCACAGTCCCAAACGGTTCGAACTCCTCGAAAAGAGACGGACGACATCTTCGTCCAAGCAGAAATCATAAACAGCCCACGTATAGAGATTGAATTCCATTGAATCGCCACACAAACAAGATCTTAGAGAAACAGCTGAAAAAATATTAGACCGCACAAGATGAAGCGAGCTGAAAACGTGTTAAGAAATGCTACCGTATACATTGATTGTTACGTACATGCTTTGGAGAAAGGTACAACCATGTATCCTCTTGCTCAACTGAAATTTGAATCGTTGTCGTGATGCAATTTCTAAATTTATCTTTCTTATCTGATGTTAAGTTCTCCGTTTGTGGAAAATGTCGATATCGTCATTTCAACCAGCTGAGTTTATACGAGAAGGAAAGAAAAAGGTTTGTTTTGTAAAAAAAACTCTGAATACAATGTATTTATGCGAAAGTTCAAAAGCAGCTCGATTAAAATTTTCACTAGCTAGTCTACATTGATCTGAATTCGCTGCTTGTGAATGAAACATTTTTTAACTCCCCCCCCACCTACTCTGTGATTAATTTTTAATTTTTAATCCAATGAGCTGCCAGCCCCCAGTCTATGATAAATTTTCCAGGTTTATCGAAATGTGGTCGAATTTTCTTCCAAAAAATTGAACTTTGTGTGTTTTTGGTTCTTTAGCTACCTGGCACTTTACAATAGACTACAAAGTCATCACAGACATTTTATAAGCGCTGTGTTAAAATTAAAGTCTTGAAAAAAGTGGTATTCTGTAGCATTTTACAAAAGACTACAGAGTGATGGCAGGCATTCTATAAACGCTGTGTTAAAATTAAAGTCTTATAAAAGTGGTATTCTGTAGCATTTTACAAAAGACTACAGAGTCATGGCAGGCATTCTATAAACGCTGTGTTAAAATTAAAGTTTTTAAAATTGGTATGCTTGCAAAGTTTGGCATTTTTTACTTTGATATTTTCAGTTATGCTCGTTGGCAATATGCATCGAAGAATTCTCATATAATTAAGTCCATTTCACATCGTGTTCTCTGACTGTTTTAGTCAATGAATAGTACATTAATCCTTTTGTTTACCGTACGAAAGATACATAATCCGTTTATGAGATCATTTTTTCATATAATAAATTTTCAGTGTCATTTTCTTGCGATAATTATGTGAAATTATTCCAGTGTTTTCGCCTTTTGCTTACGAAGGATAGTACAGAGGAAGAAGTTTGTTTTGGTTGCGGATGAGTCGAATCCTTGAAACAGGTATGCTTTTTGAGTTATTTAAAAACTCTTGTGTTGAATGAGCAGTTTGCCAACTTTTATTCGGTCATTTTTTAATTTGGAGCTCACGTTTGTTTTTTTTGTGAAAAGTCTTTCTTTCGAAGATTTAAGTTCTGTTTTCCGCCTACCTTCTTTCGGTTGTTAGGTTATTAAAAGATTATTAAAACTCTCTCTCTCAGGCAGCTAGCTATAAAAATGGCTTTTCATTATCGTTCCCTAGCGTGGGACAGAGAATCCTTAGAAGTGTATCTGGTAGCTACTGTGTGGACGGGATTTAAATGGCAATTTATATGCTAAAAATCACACGCATAAAAAGTTATACGTTAAATGGAAGCGTATTGCCTCGATTCTTTGCTGTCATTATGCAGTGCCGATGAATTAAGAAAAACGAAAGAATTATAAATATTTTTTACGGTATTTGATTTTAGCTATACTGTTGTATACAAAGATGAAAAGACGACAATATATTTTTTCAGCAGATGTTATCTGCTTACGCATGATTATAAAATTGAACTTTCTTCATAACAGCAATTTATTCATTACTTGTGAACAAAGGCCTTATTTCATTTCGTTTGTAATATTGACTGCTTGTGCGTGTGTGTGTGTTGTCAGGCACGTGTTAATCGTGTTTGAATATTATATATTGTATTTCCATTGAGCTTTATTTTGCTCGTAATTAGGAAAATATGTTTTGAAATGAGCGCGAATGGGAAAATGGCCAAGTTGTCGACGAGCGTTTCTTCGATGTAAGTTTTTGTCGTTTTCTTCGTTTTTGTTTTTGTGATTTTGTCGTTTTCTTCGTTTTTGTGATTTTTGTTCGTTTATTAAAAGCTGGCCTTGAAGACGTTCGTTCTCGTATGTAGGTACTGGAAAATCCCATTTTTTCCTCAACAAAAGCAAATGATCGCCGATCATGGGATAATTATAAAAAGGCAATCAAATGTCGAAAATGAAGAAGACGCTGCTATACCGAGCAAGGTTTGATTTCTTTGTAAAATTCTAGGTATGGAAAATCGAAAAACATACAATACTATGATGTGATGTGTATGATGTTCATAGAAGGAAGTGACTTCTCATCCTGATTATTGGGAGATTCGCAAAATCATTCGCTTAATTCAGGTATTAACGGATGTTGAATATCTAAACATTCTTCACTCGATCCATTGTTGTCACATGTGATCCAGTGTGATCCCATGTTGCACGTAGTCTCAAGTAAATCCTTGACAAAAAGAATGATAGCACAACGCTATAACAAACAAGTACAAAAAATAACGACCTTACCTAACAACATTTGAGAAATCAACCTTCCACTCCTCTTCCTTGTAAACGAGACAAGTCTACTCAAAAGCAGAGAGCCTTATACGCTACAAGTCCCGGGCTTGTGACCGGTATAGCAGAGTTAAAAGGTGAAAGGTTTATAAGGCTCTCTGCTTTTCAGTAGACTTGTCTCGTTTACAAGGAAGAGGAGTGGAAGGTTAATTTCTCAAGTGTTGTTAGATAAGGTCGTTATTGTTTGTAGTTGTTGGTTATAGCGCTGTGCTATCATTCTTTTTGTTTAATAACACTCCAACTATTTAACCTTGTAAATCCTTGACATTATGCTCGTTTTTCCCTTTCTCGTCTCCCGTTCTTAGATCGGTGATCCAACGGCGACTGTGTTGATGTTATGTGCTCTTAAGGAGTTCGATTTTTTACAAACAGCTTTTGGCAGCGAAATCATCCGTCATCTTAACGGTGTTTCTCTTTTTCTGAACATCATTGAAACAGATGATGATCGATGTAAGGTGCGCGCATCTGTATTTCCTAACCATTAAAATCTCTTTCGGGCCCTTTAATTTAAACCTTTTCCCTTCAAACTTTGAGTCGAATTCAAAACTTCTTTTGCGTTCACGTTTTATTTCTTTGAATGCATCATTTGTTGTCTGTTGTCACAGTTGTCAAAAACAAGAATACGCTAGCTGTTGTGAGCTTATAACTTTTGCGTTATAGATGGCAGCACTAAATGTACTCGTGACTTTAGCAAGATCTCCAAAATCATCTGAAACAATCCTAAGAAAAAAAGGCATGCAAGCTCTGTTCTTTTGTTTCCCCAAACGCTCCGCTCTCGTCAGTAAAATATTGCTGCTTGTTGTTGCTAGGTATGCAGCTGTTTGTCTTAATTCTCAGGACGGAGAAAAATAAAACTGTCCTCTCTTTGGTTTGCGAAGTTATTACGTCCATGGCAAAGCATGGTTATGCCACACGATTCTTGAAGGAACTGAAGGTTGTGGAAATACTGGTAAGATCTTGCTTCAGGTTCTTTTTCATGAATACAGAAAGGATACAGTTCTAAAGATATAACGCGTGCTCTGACTGGTCAGGAAAGACATTTGAATTGATTGGACTGTTGTAACTATTAAAAATACGGTCAAGCCTTCCCGTAGGGCACCCTTCTATAGGGCAACCTTGGAACCAGTAAGTGTCCCCTTTAGTTACGTTATGACTGGTAGCTAATAACGTATTTTGGCAAGGACTCAGAAGCAGTGTCTGCTTTCAACAGATGTCTGTACATAAAAGTTTGACTGTACAGTGGCTTTCACTTAATGTTACCCTTCCTAAAGAGGATCAATATGTTGTTGTAAAGAAACACACGTAATACCTTCCTACGTGAGACCTAAGTATAGCTACGGTACTGTAAGTATAGCTAAGGTGGTGTAAGTATAGCTAAGGTGGTCTAGGTATAGCTAAGGTAGTATAAGTATAGCTAAGGTGGTGTAAGTATAGCTAAGGTGGTGTAAGTATAGCTAAGGTAGTGTAAGTATAGCTAAGGTAGTGTAAGTATAGCTAAGGTGGTCTAGGTATAGCTAAGGTAGTGTAAGTATAGCTAAGGTAGTGTATGTATAGCTAAGGTAGTGTAAGTATAGCTAAGGTGGTGTAAGTATAGCTAAGGTAGTTTAAGTATAGCTAAGGTGGTCCAAGTATAGCTAAGGTGATGTAAGTATAGCTAAGGTAGTGTAAGTATAGCTAAGGTAGTGTAAGTATAGCTAAGGTGATGTAAGTATAGCTAAGGTAGTGTAAGTATAGCTAAGGTAGTGTAAGTATAGCTAAGGTAGTGTAAGTATAGCTAAGGTAGTTTAAGTATAGCTAAGGTGGTCTAAGTATAACTAAGGTGGTCTAAAGAAGACTAAGTATGTCTAACGTGGTCTAAGTATGGCTAAGGTGTTCTATGTATGGCTAAGGTGTTCTATGTATGGCTAAGTATAGGTAAGATTGCGTAGGAAGGTATTACGGGTGTTCCTTTATAACAAAATATTGATACATTTCAGGAAGGATCAGATGAAGTAACAACCGTCTGATCGTGTATCTGTTTGCTGAAATTCTGCTGGCCTGTTTTGCGAAATTGAAGCACTATAAAACACCGAGTAAAGTCCCTGTTACCTTAAACAATTATCAATTCGTGTCATTGCTTTGTAGATGACTGTGTTTAAAGATTGCGCAAAGCACAAACGCCAAAGTGAAAACCTTAAACTGTTTCACAGTGTTTGCTACGCTGTTTGGAGTTGTTGCTTATCGGGGAGAAAAGAAGATGCAATTGCAGTGTCGGAATGTTTAGGCGTTATCACTCGTTTGGTTAGGACGAAGGATGACGAGCAAGTGCGACCATTATTGGGCATTATTGAGGCATGTTGTGATGTGGTAAGCTGAACACGATGTACGTTTTAGACAATGGCCAATTTCGACCTTCAAAAGTGCGTTGAAACAAACATGGTTTCTGGTATGTTCCCTAGGATTCATGCATCGTCATAGACATTTAAAATTTTCGCTCGTTCAATCTCGCGAAGCCTGTCAATTCCGGACATTCCGAACCTATATGTTTTGGCTTTTTTCCTAGACCACTTTCGTCTTTGGATGTGATTGTATAAACAACTTTTAAACGATGTTAAATATTAAAAGCTTTTTAGCTTGCTTTATATTTTCTACGTATAGCTAAACGTCATTAAACATTGCCGTTAACGCATGCATGCATACATTAGATATTTTCTACGTATAGCTAAACGTCATAAAACATTGCCGTTAACGCATGCATGCATACATTAGATATTTTCTACGTATAGCTAAACGTCATTAAACATTGCCGTTAACGCATGCATGCATACATTAGAAATTCATCCAACCATTTGAATTCGGGCGAATAGGAATTGAGTAGTAAAATGGAGATGGCGTTTGGAATTGATAAGCAATGAAACTTAGCTATTTTATGATGCCTTTCTCTTTACGCAGGGGATTTGTTTTTTTCAGTCATATTTTTGTCGCGAACTGGATGGCGAGAATTTGGTTGGTGAACTTATATCGAAGATGAAATCAACCGAAGCGATTAAAATTTTATCATTGAAGATTTTATACAAGGTAAAGGTACATTATTTATAAAGATTGTTTCGAGAGTTGCTAGCATACATACCAAGGCGGATGGTTCAAAATAATAACGTAATGGTTCTTTTCGGCGAGTGTTCTGGTCTTAAACAGTTCTTTTAAGAACTATCATGATATTGTTTTTTACCTTTCACCACGCTATTTGTAGTTTTTAAAACAATCTTTAGATTTTTCGCCGAGACGAAGTCTGTATTTTAGCATATTGTATTTGATTTACCTTCGCACGCCATTTCTTTAGTTGCACGGAAATAATTTCCAGGGGTGGAAGAAGTTTTTTACTTTCTGGGAACCACAGACAAATGCTAAAAAATTTCTGTGAAAATTGCATTGTTGAAATCACCAAAATAACAAAGATACGAATTATGTTTAAAAGTTATTAATCATTAACTATTAATTATGACGTTTCATAAACTGATTTAAAAGTGTTGTAATGGTTGCTGGAAAATTTTCTGCCAAACTCTCAACTCTACAAGATTTCTGGCAACTACGTTCCCAAGTTCCGATACTTTTTCAACCCTTGACAATTTCGTTTGCGAATTGTGTTTGTTCTTGCTCTGCAGTGTGCTGGCGATGAACGTTTTCAGAAAACGTTCATGAAATCAAACCACTTGCAAGACATCGTGATACTTTTTGAAAAGTTGCAAGGAAAGAGAGAGCGTGGAAACGTTGACTTTGTTACTGGGTTTCGTGTGGAAATGCTGTTTAAATGAAGAACATCGAGCGAGGTGTGCCAGAACTATCGAATTTATTTCCAAGTGTAGAATATTTCTCTTCATGTGCAACACAAATTCGTGAATGATTCGTCCTATTTGAAATAGATTTATAGATGAAGGAATTTTCTCCAACATTTTGAACATTATCAAAGAAGATCGATGTGTCGAGGTTTGTTGAGGTTTTCATACGATGCATTAGTCCTGATTGTTATTTGTTTATATTTTTCTTTGTTCAATGTTGCTGCTCTGAGTATTTATTCTTTATTTAATGTAGGTAAAAGCCATTGCCCTCGGTTTAATGTCCGACCTGTTGTCAGGAAACGTAGTTACGAACGTGATCCACGATTCTGACCTTGTCACCAAACTGATCCATTTCTTGTCCGTGACAGAATCCTTACTATTAATGAACAGTGCACGCTGTCTTGGAGTATGTGCTGTGGACAAGACTTTTAGAACGTAAGCTGCAACTTAAATAGCTGTTAATATGACAAGTTGCTTTTTTCTCCACGTCTTAAGAGATTCTCCCCCTCCGTTTTTGTTTTCTTGTGCTGTGGACAAGACTTTTAGAACGTAAGCTGCAGCAGGGGGTATAGGGAGTAGTTGCTCAGTTTCAACTAGAAGCGACTTAAATAGCTGTCAATATGACAAGTTGCTTTTTTCTCCACGCCTTAAGAGATTCTCCCCGTTTTTTCGTTCATCTTGCCCGCGTCCTTATATAATTAACGTACAATGTGCACTCTGAAATACATGTAAAACCGAACCTTTATTTGTCGATCATAAACAATATTTTTAATTTCCGTGTAAGATGTTCCGAGACATACTTAATCTCGTTTTACTTCAGGCAAATCATAAAACAAGATGGCCTTCGTTTGTTGTGGTCAATGCTAAAGAGTTCTAATAAAAAGGTCTTTGTTTTACGGCTTATTCAATTGGGTTTTACTGTTGTATATAGAACGCTCCAGCAACTTAGAAATTTTTTTGTCAGGTTGTAGCAACGGGCGCTGTTTCCTTGGCTTCAGTATGTTCCAAACCGGAGGTAAATGCTTCAAGTTGTTCTACGTTGCGAGCTTTTTTTACCGTGACAATCCATTTACATAGGTCGCTTTGCCCGCTGTGTCCAGGTTAACTTTAACATCAACTGGAATGACAATTCAAGCGGTGTTTGTTTGTGTGTGGGGGGGGGGAGGGGTGTTAAAGGCGAGGTTTGGCAGTCATGAAGGTAGTCCTTTCTTGTTTAAAAAAAGCAACGAAAGTTATTGCGTTTTTCGTTGTCTTTTTTTATGCATTTCCACGAAAGATATTCAGGCATTGAAAAGTCTTACAGTTTATAAATCATACACGTTTGACTAGTTTTCTGTTTCGACTGGTTTTATCCTCCATTTACAATATAGGAATCGGCCATTGCTGTCCGTTCTATCGTTGGTGGCTTAGAGCTTTTGATGACACTCTTGTATCATACCACTCTGGATGAAACAAACGTATGTCAATTGTCATTTTGACATGTCAAGGATAAATGCTCAGACGTGAAAGTTTATTTTTTTTCAGCTTTTGGTATGTTTATGTCAGGTGACGATGAGCATCGCTGCTGATGCGGAGAATCGGTCGATTTTGATCGATTATGAACTTATTCCTGTCCTACTTAGGTTGTTCGAGTCGGTAAGATGCGTCTTGTGAAGAAATTTCTCGTCATTTTTTCATGTGGTGAGCCCGCATTCATATCAATATCGAATGCGGTTGTTATGAAGCGTTGTCGGAACGATGTTTCGTTTCTGTAACATTCCAACATAGAAATGAGAGACTTCCGTGTACCGTTGAAATTTTAAAGCCCGAAGTTTTCTTCATCATTCTCATCAAAAATGAACATTTCTCTAAAGCAACTTTGTTCGACATTTATTCCATCAGAACTTGTCAAGCGTCGTCACCTCAAAGTTGCAGTTTCGTGTGACATCGTGCATCGCGATTCGTTGAACATAACACATTGCAAGCCAATCAGAACCCCTGATAACAATGTTCGTTATGCGTCTTGATGTCATACATACTACAAACGCCATTTTTTTTCTTTTCGAAGGAGGACGAAGCTCTTCAGTACTACGTTACCTGTTTGGTTCAAAGGTAGATATGAAAGTGAACGTTCTTTTGTCATTTCTTTCTTTCTCCGCAATGAGCATGACCGAGTTTGTCACGAGAGGAGAGATTTGTTGTCACGAGAGGAGAGATTAGTTGGATATCATAAATTGGGGAAACTATGATTTCTGTTAAATTGTTAGAAGAAAATGTTTGAGCGCTATTTCGATTTACACATATATTGCATGCCATTTACTTTACATTTCTCTATGGTCTCTACCGCTTTACAAATAACGTTTGTGCCATGAAAATTGTGAAGTTATTAAAATGCTTTTGTAAAAGAATTCAAAAGATATTAACGTCATTAGGACCCGAGATACTGCTTCAAAGGAATAGTCGTTTTGCTCCCATGTTTCATAGAAAGATATAAAACCGTTGCCTTCAAAATGTTCACAACGTGCCTCATAAATTGTAGGAATGAATTTGCTAGCCTTTCATCATGAATTGACATCTTAATGAGCCCCAAAATACAGTTGGAAATAAAGCCAGACCGATCTGCTTTAGAAATCATTTTTAAGATGAACGGGAAATTTTGCCGGACAAAACACATTTTGAAAGACAAAATTTATGTCAGAGACAAAAAGTTTATACCAGGGAAATAAGTAATATCGAACAGAAAAGGTTTTATCCGGAAAAAGATGTTATATGAGAGACAAAAACGATCTTCCTTTTATCATATATTATTTTAGGGATTATAGAGGTATAGGTATTCAAAAAATAGTATGCTTTGAAAGCTGTTGTCTGTGTACATGTTTACTAAAACAGTTTTTTTCATTAAGGTGTTGCGCATCCTTAAAGGAGAGAGGAGTTTTGACGCGTTGTGTTTCATTCTTGATACGAAAACTTCACAAGGAACACGAAGATCATACGCGGTGCGCATCCATTTGCGCACTAAACGAGCTGTCACGTGATCAAGAGAATTGCGTCTTCCTTCGATCCAGCAAGACAACTAAGGTGCATCGACGTGAATTTGAACCATTCTCATTCTGTTCTTTGTATCATTCGAATTCAAATCGTTATAAGAGATGGTTTTCATGTTTGGAATATTACTGTTTAGATCCTAATCAATCTGCTATCATCAAGTAATGAGAAGATTCAAGAGGCAGCCGCTGAATGCCTGTGCAATATCAGGAAATCATTTCAATAACAATGAGGTGAGGGACGTTTTTTCTTATTTTCACAGTTCGGGTGTCCCAACGATTTAATAAGCTTTCCATGCGCCGTGTTTATTATGACCAGCGGTCGTCTGACGTCTACGAAAATCGTTTATTTGCCTTTCGTTGAAAGCCAAACTCAACTCTAAATAAACGTTTGGCCGTACGAAATTTAAAATATGATTTGTTAAAGACTTTGTGAGATTGAAGTTTTTCAATACAACGGAACTGGGTAACCATTAGGTTACCATTAAATTACCTAATTTATTAAAAATGTTGACAAATAAAAACTGTGAAAATTTCCCCGAAGCTCCCTTCGAATGTTCCATTTGCGTTTTTGCGGCGTCAATTTTGCCAAGCGCGTCGTCAAATGTTCGTCCATTTCTTGCAGCCGTCCGTTTTTATTTTCTTCACATCTCGCTGAAAGTCTACAAGTCTTCCGTTTGCAATCACAAGAAGACTATTACTTACATCCGTCTTGTAGAAGTTTCTCTCCGTACATTTTTTTACTCTCCTTACTGTGCGTTTTTGTGTTTGTGCCGTTTTAGTAGATGCTTGCTGACCGCCACGTATCGTGGGCGCTTTACTCTTGTTCGCCATCTTGACGGCCTGGGCGTTTAATGTGTCTTTAAATGAACCACTGAAATCAACGAAGTAGTTTGTTGTCGCTCCTAGAGTACGAGGCAGACTATGGAAAAGTGATATTTCGCCTTTTCCATTCATCGATTTGTCTTTCGTACCATATTTTCGTTTTTTCGTCAAGTCTTGAAATGACGACTTCTCGCATTCGTTTGCTAAGCGCGGTAAACGCGCCTCCGCGCTCAATTCGTCGATGTCGTAGTATCCCACGATACCTAGCGTTTTTTCCTCAACGAGAGATGATGATTTTTCATCGTCGAGAGGAGTACAGGTCTTTACTTTGTACCTTAGCTGCTTATTTTTCCTGTTTTGAGTTGAGCTTGCAACGACAGTTTCACGTTGAGATGTAATCGGTCGCGATGTAGATTTTGGTGTCGTTGGAAGCGCGGAGGAATAAGAAATTGTGATCTGAACGGAGATCATCGTCACTTCGACGAAGAGAAATCCTTCGGGAGGCTATTGTTTCGTCAAACGAAGTATGCGCGACTGAAATTTACGCTTGTATCGTTGAAATACTTTTAAATTATAGAACATTAATCAAATCTATCGAATATAACTCCTATCGTATCGTCGTTTCATCACTTCTACCGTCGAAGCAATTGATATGAATTAGTAAAAAAGCTGTCCGTTTTGACCAGGTGGTTTTAAAATAGCCTGTAATTGCCAATAGTGTTTCGTACTATGTTTGCAGATGCGTCATGCAATGAATAATTAAAGAGCAAAGCGTTTAATTTGTTTTGAAATGTAATTTAAGCGTGCCGTTTTAAAAAAAAAATTTGCTGCGCATATTACGTTTTTTTAGATGGCACCTCTTACTGAGCAACTATAAAATTCACATAAATTTCGTCTTTATTTAAAAATTTAATGGATAAAAACAACTTTTTAAAATAATTATAACAGTCTAACGTAAAATAAACCTCTCGCTTCATTTTCTAATTTGAAATGTAGAGATATATAAGTCCTTTTCTCGCTCATTTCGAAAACTTTATGCAACTGTTGGATTACCAAAGCCGACTTTTTCTTGCATTGCATGTAACTCGCTCAAAAGTTCTTCGTTTTGGAGTTTCAACTGAAGATCAAATTTAAAGATCAGTTTGGGAGAAAATGTTCTCGTATACTTGTCTGTATATGTACACTCACCTTAATGGCATACTTATACGATTGCTCAGCTTCAAGTTTTCTTCCCGTCTGTTCAAATGAAAAAATGTTCAAGTGAAATGGCTAGATGGGGGCAAGGACGGCAAAATGGTGGGCAGCCTGCAAATAAATGCTCTGCAGTGATAAAGGTTTTGTATGTAACAAGTTGATCGTTCTGTAAGAGTTTTTGAGAGCGTAGGGGAGAGTCTCAATTATTGAATAGGCTTCCACTACCCCCTCCCTCCCCTCCCTACTCCCCCCCATTGGTGTTTTAAAAGTAAAGGAAGTCGTAGTCGCGTTGATATACCTTTAAACATAGCAAGGAGAGATAGCCCCAAATCTCGGCATCCGTATTGTTAAGAATGTTTGCTTCAGCTAAAGCATCTTCTGCCTCGTTTAGTAAATCCAACTGTGAAAGAATAAGACAAAAATGTCTTATACTCTATAACTGTCACTCTATTCTCGATAATATTTAAACCGAGGAAAGACATGACCTAGCGTGGAGCGAGACGTCAGAAAGATAATATTTAAACTGAGGAAAGACATGACCTAGCGTGGAGCGAGACGTCAGAAAGATAATATTTAAACAGAGGAAAGACATGACCTAGCGTGGAGCGAGACGTCAGAAAGATAATATTTAAACTGAGGAAAGACATGACCTAGCGTGGAGCGAGACGTCAGAAAGATAATATTTAAACTGAGGAAAGACATGACCTAGCGTGGAGCGAGAATTACCTCATAACAAGATATACCCACACCGAGCCACGAACATGGCGAAGGGCTTCGTTGACATGCCATTAAGAAGTGCTTTTTTGCCAGGACAAACTAAAGACAAACATATTGCAGTTAATAACGATTTCTGAGATCTTTCCGTTCTTCCGAAAGAATTTTGTTAGAAATCTTTGATAAAAGTCTTTGCAAACCTTTCTTTCTTTTAAGTATATGCTTGCCAATCTAATGTAAACGGTATGAATGTCTGTGGGCTCATCAATGTATGCCAGCGCCCTTTCGTAGCACATACAAGCTTTATCCATCCTGTGGGTGAGATAGTTGACATGTCCCAACAAAGACCAGGCGTTTGAACTCTGTAACATAGATTACGTCATCGCAGTTATTCGTGGGCAACACTTGATTTATAGTATTCAATGAAAACAACGCTTACCTTATGGTCAAGCTTCAGAGCTTCATTTAAATCAGCTTCGGCTTCATCATAATTCCTGTTTTGAGCATGCAATCTTGCCAGTAAAGTGTAATATAAGGCTGAAGGTCCGTTGGTCAGTAGTTCGTGAGCAAGAGAACTTTCAGCTAGCTGCATAAGACAAACAGAAAATGATTCAGCATCATACTAAAGTCTGCATTTCTGCTTCAGGTTGCAGTCCCTATCGGTTTTTCTACTGCTGCTCATTTTCTCCATTGAGGAGAGTGAAAATAACCTCTGTTACAAGGACAGCTGGACGCTACCCTTGATAGCTGTTGTACAGAGAGTTTTACAGCGTACTGTACATGGAGATCGTCCATATTCTAACTACTAGGAGAAAGCGAATTTCTTTCACAGAAATGAACCAGCTTGCTGCATGCCATTGCCTAGTATTTGATTATTGCAAATACTCTCTTTCAATGGTGACTTACCATTGTCGCATTGACATTCAGAAGAAAGACAGCGGTCTGTAGGAATATACTTCTTGGTGGTGCCGGTGGTGGGACTATGACCTCACGAGAAGTGACGATCTCATCGCGTTTTGCATCCACCGCAATGTGTTCTGTTGTCTGTGTATTTGAAGCGTTCTTTGGTATCTTAGAGGTTGAATTTCGTTGTTTCCTACCATTTGTATCATCGAGGCTCGCCCGTCGAGATGAGGGGTTTTTTACAACTGTGCAACAACGTAAAGCGAATTAAGAACTCTTGAAAAGTTGGTTTGGTGAAATATACACGTCTTCGAAAAGTTCGATCATGTCGACATATATTACCTAAAACTGGCATCGTATTTCTTGGAAGAGAGACCGTATTCGCTCTTGTCGCTTCGTGAAATGCTCTTTCGGCCCCAATGTCATTTTGAAAACTGTCGTAGAACAATCCTAGAAAAAATATAGACGAGAAAAATGGATGAAATGTCAAGGTAGTATGTTCGTCGTTTTTTCTTATGTATAGCAATCTATCCAAAAGAATGTATTCATCTTTTATATCCACATCATATTCTTCTAACGATTTAATGTACAGCCCTTTCCTTTCGTAACATTTTCATCCCTAAGCAGGGTCCTTGTTATGTGCGGTTTTCCAAACGACTTCATGAAATGTGGGTTATAGTGAGTTGCCCGCGATTTTTCCTAAAATTTTCTTACCCAGTGTCGTCCACGCAATTACACTTTTCTCATTCTGACAAGTAGCTGCTTCGAAGAAAGTTTCTGCCTCTTCGTACTTCTGTGTCATCAACGAGACGCAGCCGTTGAGCAGAAGGCTGTAAATAATTGACGACATCATTGGATTTCGTTTTCTTGCGCGAAGTCAGTAAAAATAGTTTGAAAAAGAATAGTATTTTTATTTAATACAGTTATTTACCCTTTAAAATGCTTCTGATTTAAGGATATTACTTCCCTGAAGCATTCTTCAGCCTAAAATAATCAAAACATGTAGTTGAACATTGTTTCTGCGTATCTTACAAAATTGAATCCACGTGAAAGCCTTCTAAAGTAGAGAACAACGGAGTTTGGTTTCTTCAGGCTTTTTCTCAACCGCTATACTTCAATTACCTTGGAAACGTCTCGAATTAAGAGACAATAAGCGCCATAATCAAACCAACAGTCCGGATCATTTTGGTTCTTTCCTAATCTCTGTTAACAAAACAAACAGCGGGAATTTTGATTTCAAAAAAGTTCACATGTTAAAGCGCTTCTCGATTACCTCTTTGTAATACTTTGCAGCCAGTTCGTAATCTTCCTTGACCTGAAAAACGAAGCGGTTGATAAAAGATGTGTGAAAAAAAGAAATAAAAATTACGTTTCCTAATAATATACGATAGGCGAACCTCAGCTTCTTGTGCAAAGTGCTTCAACATCTCATTGTCCGCCATTGACGTTGGAATTTCCGTTTTCTCGTCCACAGATAAAGCCTTAAAAAAGATTATGATTAGTAGCGATTATGTGGAAACAATAATCTCGGGGTGATTTTCCCAATTTGAGTTTATCAAGTTGGGTTACCTTGTTGAGTCCTTTGTGCATTTCGTCTACGAGGAAGACGTAAAGATCGCTGAGAAATGATTGAAGTTCTTCTTGATTCGTGAACGATGTTGTGTGAAAATATTTCTCCCGTACGATTTTAATCACCGCATTCTAGGCGAGAAAAATTGCTGGTGCGATGATTTTCACACGAAAACTTCCATCTTCGTTTGAAAGAAATAAAGATACCTTCATTTGCTCTTTGAAAGCAAAATATTTCCCGGTCGTGTTCAGTTCGTACAGAAACACTTTCCGCCTGAAAAACATAATCATTTCGAACATTTCAAAGCAAGGACTGCTAATAATGCAATACATGACACTCAAGTTGAAAAAATTTGTTTCATTCTCACCTGTTTTCAACGTCTTCATTTTCCTGACTAAGTGAGCCGAAGTCACCGCCGTTTAAATGTCTGCATATGGAAAAGAAAAAGAATCAATGTTATCCTTTCAAGTTGCTTGAATATTTCTTTAGAAGACAACGAAAAACACAAATGTACGAAAAAATGTATAAAAAATATAAAAAAGCAATAAAGAGTTAAATTTGAAAATAGGCGTAATAATTAAGGAGGCTCGAGAGTTGTGTCATTTAAACAACACAAGACCAAAACCCCAAATGATTTTTTGACCGTGGGAAAAAAAGACGGCACCAGACTTTTCAAGAGCAACTGAGAACTGTCGTAGAATTCGACTTTGCTATATTATATTTTGAATTTTCATATTGTTTAAAAGCGCGACAGTGACGAAAAACACGACAATTGCATCTCGTTGATATTTGGCTATGGGCAAAACTTTTCTTCTTTTTGACGGTCATAATACAATCGAAATAACGCAAGCACTTTGTGTTTTCGTTTTGAGGGATGGTAATTTTAAGTGTTCATTTTATATATTATTCTTGTCTTTCACTAGCTAATTTACGTGTTAAAAGTTAAAAAGGTTTTGAAGCCTTCAATGTGGATTGATTGCGAGTTAAGCATGCAATACCGTGTCAAAATAGTTAAAAGCTAAAAGTTTTTAAAAATAAACTATAAAGTCGATGCCTTAAATGTGGATTGACTGTGAATTAAGCATGCAATACCGTGTCAAAATAGTTAAAAGCTAAAAGTTTTTAAAAATAAACTATAAAGTCGATGCCTTAAATGTGGATTGACTGTAAGTTAAGCATGCAATACCGTGTCAAAATAGTTAAAAGCTAAAAGTTTTTAAAAATAAACTATAAAGTTGATGCCTTAAATGTGGATTGACTGTAAGTTAAGCATGCAATACCGTGTCAAAATAGTTAAAAGCTAAAAGTTTTTAAAAATAAACTATAAAGTTGATGCCTTAAATGTGGATTGACTGTAAGTTAAGCATGCAATACCGTGTCAAAATAGTTAAAAGCTAAAAGTTTTTAAAAATAAACTATAAAGTTGATGCCTTAAATGTGGATTGACTGTGAGTTAAGCATGCAATACCGTGTCAAAATAGTTAAAAGCTAAAAGTTTTTAAAAATAAACTATAAAGTTGATGCCTTAAATGTGGATTGACTGTGAGTTAAGCATGCAATACCGTGTCAAAATAGTTAAAAACTAAAAGTTTTTAAAAATAAACTATAAAGTTGATGCCTTAAATGTGGATTGACTGTGAGTTAAGCATGCAATACCGTGTCAAAATAGTTAAAAACTAAAAGTTTTTAAAAATAAACTATAAAGTTGATGCCTTAAATGTGGATTGACTGTGAGTTAAGCAATACCGAAATTCATTGAGCAGAAGATTAGCGACATTGACGATTTGATTGTGATAGTTTTCAATAGCCTAAAAGAAATAAAAAATGCAAATGAAAAGTCTAGCCAAAAATATAGCCACTTTAGATATAAGAACGATGTAATTTATTTTTTGATCAAATGAACTCAGATGCAAACCTTTTTTGCACCGCCGCTTTTCTTGCTGAAGATCGCTCTTGGTGGTATGATTTCGGCCACTCTATGAAAAAAATATGGATGTTAGAAAAAATATTTATTCGTCAATAAGTCATTAGAAAAATATTTGCTCATCAATCAGTCATAAATCACTGACCGTTATTCCGCTACGAAATAGTATGTACAAAAATATAAGATGCTTTGCAAAATCATACGGGGATAAAAGGGACCTTATCGTGACGTCACATTTTGCAAGGTCTTCTGGGTAAAAAGGACCTTACAAATGCCCGCTTGAAGAGGTTTCGAACTTTTTTTCCTCACTTTTTTGCGAGTGCCGAAGGTGGTTTTCTTGCTACCAGTGGCTTGTCTAGTTCAATTTTTATGGTGATAAACGTCCGCGCTTCATTGTATTGCTGTAAACAAAATGCAAAATGGTGTTAAAGGAGTTAGGTAGCATGTGGGCATCGTAATCAATCCTGAGATACTTGGCTTTCGGGGTCCGCGATGTCGCCTTCTGAATTCGGTTCTGCTTTAAGTGCTGCCATAGACTGCTAAATATAGAAAAAAATGGACAAGTCATGCGCTTGAACAGTTGTAGGGGAATTTTGAGTAATTTTCTTAACCTAGGGCACCCTTTTTTCCCTCCGAAGTACACGATTTGATGTTAAGAAATGATGTAAACGAACCTTAACTTTCGTATCTTTAGTAATCATCTTACTTCCGACATTTTTTACGGAGACTGACGGCGTGTTCCGATTTAACGCACCGGGCATTTGTTCACTGTCATCGTTCACGTTTGCTTTGCGTTTTGTTCTCTCTAGCACCTCGTTCTCGATGTATGGTCGAACAAGATACGCTCCTTGGATCATTTTGATCCCGGGATACAACAATGGCGCCATGTTTACGTAGGCAACGCCATGAAACGATATGCTTGGCTCTTCATCTGTGGACTGTTGCTTACCGGCCCTTGTTTTAACCGTCGCTGTTGTCGGTTGGCGAGTGATTTCCACCGGCCATATGCGGTTATTGGCTATTTTCTTTTGAAAACTAATCAACAAAAGGCGATTAAGATCATGAGAGTGAAATTTTAAGACCGTAGCCTAATTTCTTGCCATCTTCTCTCGCTCGGTAATTTGGTAGATTTTACAAGAGAAAGAATGCAGTTTAGGATTGAGATATTGACTACAAGTTTCTAAATGTAGATCGTCCAGGTTGGTATAGTCCTGAGAAGGTCTGTTTTTGTTGTTGTTGACTGACGTTTCGACAACCTTAGCGGTAGTCATCTTCAGAGTCAAAAGGTTCACATTTGACTCTGAAGATGACTAACGCTAAGGTTGTCAAAACGTCAGTCAACAACAACAAAAACAGTCCTTCTCAGGACTATACCAACCTGGACGATCTACATCTACAAACATGTAACGATACTCCCGGGTTCAAACCATTTACTATATTGACTACAAAGTAAACATTTTTGATAAACTAGGTGCGCACCTCCCCAGCGTTACGATGTTCATAAATGCAAACACTCGTACCTAAATGAAGCGTCCAACGAAAGGAAACACCTCCCCACAGCGTTACGATGTTCATAAATGCAAACACTCGTACCTAAATGAAGCGTCCAACGAAAGGAAACACCTCCCCTCCCCCCCAGCGTTACGATGTTCATAAATGCAAACACTCGTACCTAAGTGAAGCGTCCAACGAAAGGAAACACCTTCGTTCCGAGTTCCATGTTACACGTGGTTTTTCAAACTGGGCATTCCGTCTGAAGTTGAGATCCTGGGAAATGGCGAAGAAGAAGAATGAATGTTGTGATGAGTGTCAACTTGAATTTTCAGCATCTTGATGAGCGTATTGTCGCTTACATCTTGCAAGTCGCCTTGTTCCTCATCCGGGAATGCATGGTCTACGTAACTAAAATAAAATAAAATCCTTTTCACGGCAAGCAATTCACCATCATTTCCTTCGAACGCGTTCAGAGACTCTTTTTGGCAAAATGATTTTTAACACCGGGAAGCAGCAGTCGAGATCGAAGATAAAATTTTCAAAAACCTTTCGTCAATGAACAAGTCCACTCCCGATGTTGACGGTCCAACGCTCCACTTCCTCTTCTGATTTGCTTCCTGAAGTGATTGGACGAAAGCGTCTTGCTTGAGAGTAGAACTTGAACAACATGTTTTGAATGAAAAAAAATAATTCGATACCTTATCGCTTGCTGCTCGCAACAAACCATTGGGAATGACAACGATGTTTTCTTTCTGTCATAAAATAGAACAAATATACGCAACTTACGCATATAGATGTGGATGACGCAAGCGGAAATAATATTTAATCAGACATATTCACTAGATAACGTTATCGGTTGGATAGCAAAAATTTTCAAACTTGTAAAAAAGGTATTAATGTTTTCTCACGACAAAGACATTTCGTAATCTTCGAAACCATGTTTTATTTCAGTGATTGCTCAGTTCGAATCTTATATTATTTGCTATTTTGCTTTTTAAAAGTTTTATAAAAGTTTAAAAAAAATTGCTATCCAATGGATAACGCTATCCAGGCTTCGTGCAACCGGCCCCAGTCCATGTTGAATAATCGCGGCAATGAAACCGTTCAAATCAATTTTCAATGAAACCGTTATCGCCCAATCAATTAAGGAGTCGGAAAAGAAAGAACTAGGAGTCAGTAATGGACTTGTTTATCGAATAAAAGCGTTAATTTTTCCAATTTATTTCTATTCCTGCTAAATATGTGCCGGAAATCACGAGATTTTGCTACATGGCCATTTTTTATTTAAAGAATTTGTCCTATATGTCAAATGCGCATTTTCAATGTGAAAAAAATGATGCATACCTGCGCAGTAATAGGAATGGGCAAACTTATGCAATAGTTATATGATTGGGTTCCACTCGACCAGGAGTCTGGTACTGAATATGCACTGTCCATTTGAAAGGTCAATATATTGCTGGGGAACGTAAAGATAAAGGGAATCAAGATTTCATTAGTATGACATTTTATGTAATGAACCTCTACTATATCAAGGATACCTTTCATTCAACTCGTGAGTTGTCAACAAAGGTTCATTGACTGAGATGCTCACTTCAAGCTCGGGCTGGAAATAAAATGATACGAAATGAGAAATGTGTCAAATGGATCTTAATGATATGTACAAAATTATTATTGTAATGAGCAGGAAACGTTTGCTCCAACAATATCGACTTACGTCTTGTTCAGCAAGATTTCTGTTAATTTAATTTGCTAATCTATATTTTGTAACATATTTCAGAATATATATTTACAGGCTGCTAACTAGGAAGGATGCCACAGATTTTTTTATGCGTAGACTCAACATAATTGCATGCTGAGATTGATTAATGTGTTAAAGGTTAGAACCCAATTTTCATATTGTTTGATAAATGCCTATAAACACATCTTAACAAAATTTTGATTTTCATTAATTCAAAGTCAGTTAACCTGATCTGCTTCAGTTGTCACTAACTCTGCAAACACTTGCGTTTGAACCAAAGAAGTTAGTGGCTTTGTAACTGTGAATGCCTTTGATCCTAAGTGTAAACAAAAAAATTCATTCGCCAGCAAGAAATTGGATAAGCTTGTTGATCGTATGAAGATAGTCGTACATGGGCTAGCATAGTTTAAAATAACTTTCGTAGCACAACAAAACATTCAGACAGGCTAGTTTACTAGGTTTTCATAAAACTGACCTTTCAATAGAGGCAGAAGATCGATACAACATTGACCCAAGGCAAGCGTCTTTTCTTCTTTCGACTTCTTATCTTTGGGTAGTACTTCTGCTACAATAACTATATGAAGAAATATTGCCTGGGTTAAAGTTTTCAATTCATGATCAACAACAAATCACTTTATAAACTTTGCAATACTCGACAGTAGCTAAACGCTGATACATGCTACTAACCAACAATTGGTTTCTGACAAATGCCATCAAGAGAATATGGATCGTCAAAGGTGCAATCTAAAGTTATCATGTACTTGTACTCCGTCATCTTTGTTTCCTTGTTTGTTTCCACCTTACCAGACTCCCCGAGGAATGTCTGACCAAATTCTACCCTTACAAGCGAAGTACACGCTTCCCCTTTGGTACCACGCTAAAAATTCCCATGTGAATTGTAAGCAAAATCATTTTGATGTCAAGAAATAGTTTATAAAAGAAGTATTACTGAGGAGAGGGAAATATTGAAGAATAGAATTTTTCATCATATGTACAAGGGAAATATTTGTTGCTCACCAAGTTCGTGCATTTTGAAATTATTATTTTAATTGCTCTAGTTGGCTTTTTATCGCCCTCGTCAGACATTTTTCTCGTTGCAATTCTTCGAGAATCAACTTTTCCTTTTAGTCTTTATTGTACGCCATATTGATTACATGTTTTGTTGCTAGGAAACCAATGTGGCAACGAGCTATGGCAACCAACCATAGCAACGCAACGACACCAGTTGTTATTTGGAGAAATAAACTATGGAAAGTGAACTTAATAGTTTCATTGAAGACACCCGGGTTCAAGTACAAAAAGCTGTAATTAAATGAAAATAACAGTGAATATAAATAGAGTTTTAATGACATTAATTATTTGGTATTTATCATTCTGACTGAATGCATGTGCAGTGCAGTAGCCATTAGAGATCAGTGGAAATTTTAAAAAAAACCGCGAAAAAGTGTCGCGTCAAATTTACCGAATTGTATGGTGACATTGAAGTTGCAAACACGTGCCGAGAAAAGGATGGATTTTTTTTCTTTTCGCAGCAGCAGACGTCATTTTAAATTTGCCAAAGTAAGTGAAACGTGCATTTTCTTGTGTATTGTTTACTTTTAAGAGTGTACAAAAACTAAATAAAGTCTTTAAAGGACAATTTATAAGTACAATTTCGTAAATATTTGCGGCGCGGTGTGACCGCCATTCCTGTCGCATTTGAAAACTTTACGTTTCTTCTTCGCTTGAATTCCTCTACTTCCTACACTGTTCTTCTCTCACCGACACGTTTAAAACCATATTTCACCTGCTCGGCATTGAGAAATGGGTATCCTCGAAAAAATAGCCGAAATTGAGCGGGAAATATCTCGAACACAGAAAAACAAAGCAACCGAGTATCATTTGGGAACATTAAAAGCGAAGCTTGCGAAATACAGAGCTCAACTTTTAGAACCCACATCAAAATCATCGAAAGCGGGCGAGGGTTTCGATGTGATGAAGTCCGGTGATGCAAGGGTCGCTTTAATTGGTTTTCCTTCTGTTGGTAAGTCAACCTTACTTAACAAGGTTACCTCAACTGCCAGTGAGTCAGCCTCGTACGAATTTACCACTTTAACTTGTATTCCTGGTGTTATTGAACATAATGGAGCAAATATCCAGCTGTTAGATTTGCCTGGTATCATAGAGGGTGCCTCTCAGGGGAAGGGTCGCGGACGGCAAGTAATCGGAGTCGCCCGAACGGCGGATATGATAATCATGATGATGGATGCGACGAAAGGTGAGATTCAGAAAGTCCTACTGGAGAAGGAATTGGAAACATGCGGGATTCGTTTGAACACCCGGAAACCAAATATCTACTTTAAGATAAAAAAAGGTGGTGGAATAGCATTCAATGCGACTTGCACCCTCACTCGAATCAATGAGAAAGTGGTTCAGACTATTTTACACGAGTACAAGATCTTCAATGCAGAGGTTCTCTTCGTGAGGACTGTGGTGTAGATGAACTCATTGATGTTGTTGTTGGTAATCGTGTTTACTTACCTTGCTTGTATGTTTACAACAAGATTGACTGTGTTTCTCTTGAAGAAGTCGATCGCATTGCACGTTTGCCACATTCTGTGGTGATCAGTTGTGGGTTAGAGTTGAATTTGGACTATCTGCTGGAAAAAGTGTGGGATTACCTTGCCTTGCTGAGGATTTACACGAAGAAAAAAGGATGCCCGCCTGATTTTGAGGACTGTCTAATACTACGAAGAGGTGCAACTGTCGAGCATGTCTGTCACACAATACACAGGAGTATTGTGGATGCATTTAGATATGCATTAGTGTGGGGCACAAGCACAAAATACAGTCCGCAACGTGTTGGTATTGGTCATGTGATGAATGATGAAGATGTCATTCAAATCATGAAGAAATAGAGTTGTAACATTTTAAAGATGTGTATTGCATATATCAAGCAAGCAGATCTTTCTGCAAGTGTGTCATTCTTTGCTTATCATCTTTGCATAAGTAACATTGCATCTCAAAATTGCATCAACAGTTGATTTATTGTCTTGATTTTGCGAACAATAATTTAACTTTAAAATACAAATAACACAAATTATATATCTGCTCTAAATATCCCATATGCCAAATTAAAATACCTTTTATTATAAAATGAAGTGTAGTGTTTCTCTCCGTTGTGATACTTTATGTAATACTAAATGACATTTTGCCCAAACTCACTTTGGCATTATGCTTGTAAGTGTCGTTAAAACTGGTAAAATGCTACCATTAGTCATTATAATAATAGTTTCTTTTATAAATAGTGACAATCTCTTCCGCAATTCAACATCGTTGATTCAAAATACGTTGATTTCCTTTACGGTCGCGCAATTTTATTTCCACATGACCCGCAAAAATTATCACTGGCCTGAACTTTGCGCCCGCAGTGCGTACAAAATTGCTGTTCTTCGTTGTTCTCTTCGTAGTCAATTGGACTTCCCGTTCCTCTCTTTCGTGATGAAGGACTGTGTTCTCCTTCGTACATCCGGGATGACAGTGGAATAGTGGGTACAATTCCATCAGCGTGTCGTGGTGTAAAGTAAAATGTACGTGGAGGCGAGGATCGTCTCGGAAAGCTATCGGTATTTGTCGTCGCTATCTCGGGCGGTCGAAACGCAGACAATGTACTTTCTCGGCTTGCTAGGAAGTTGGTAGAAGGGGTAATCATGGGTATTGAGTGATAGCTTTGGTTTTCAAGTATGAATTCAATCGCTTGTACAACATTTCCCCCACATCCACGGTAAATGGTTTCCAGGACGCCTTTATTATGGTTCGGGAAAGATTTGCACAGTACAGACAATGGGTCCGGTCGTAGTCGTTTCGCTATAGAGAGTAGAGCGTTGCTTTCCGTCATTCTTGCGAGACTTGTTGGACTAACACAGACCCCTGAATCTTCGCTTCTAGGTCGCTTGCCGTTTGGGGACGAGCACAGTCGATTGCGGACTCGGTCCAAGACTCTGTGCTCTAGCTCGTCGTGATCCGGTTTTTCCCGCTTGATCGTCGTCTCATGGGTTGGGCTTGGCATACGTGCTTCATCGTATCTATGGTCGCTTCTGTCATCGGAAGACGTCGGCTCCTCACGTTCAGGCGAATCTGAAAAATGCCAAATGTACGAATTTTACGATAGGAATAAAAGTCAACTTAATTTTCCGTTGGAAAAAATACACGCACAATAACAAAAGCCATAAAATCAGACGACTCACTTTCCATCCTGCCTGTCGTCGTCGATACGCTAGGATTAACGACATAAGAATGTCTTTGAAGGACCGAATGTCTCTCATAGTCATGGTTATCTACACTAAAGGGTACTGCTTCATTTGACGCGTTCTTTCTTGCTCTGTTTTTTCTCTGTTGACGTAAGAGAGCCACGCGGGCAGCGGTAATACGTTGTCGTTCGGCAACCAGTAAACATTTGGAGCAAGTGCAATCCTTCCATGGACAGTACGGTTTGTGTCCTTTCAGCCACGCAACGGCACCGTGATTACGGCACCTGGCACATTTTGGCGTACGATGGTAAGCCGGATCACTCGGCGAGGGTGATCTTTCTTTAACTGTCTCTCTGGCTTCGGTACTCATGCTAAATAACGAATGAAACTTTACTTTAACTCTGTCTCTTTTATTTTGACGGTTTGTATGAAGGGAACAAGTTAAGACTTTCATTAATTAATATGTAGTTCCTATAGAATACGACACACCTTTTTTGTCGCAATTTACTGTCGTACGGAGACTCTTTTGTAATAAAACAAATAATTCAAACGCCAAAACTTTTTTATATTGCTTCAATTGTGGATAATCGGAAATGGGGAAGAAATTTAGGATGACTTTTCACAAATGCCATTCATGCCTTTGGGAAGAGATTTCCTTGCATCGCACGTTTAAAGTGGGGAAGAGCAGATTTCCCGATGTGAATTTATTCCCAAATAGGGATTTTCTTTATACGCGGAGGAAAATTAATTGTTCTTATTGATTGTAATATTTTAATTTTAGAATGTGGAGGAGGGAATTTTGTTACATACAAGACAAATGTAGAAACCAATATCAGAGACACGTAATTTCTAAACAATGGAAAAAGGTCAGGCAAGGTTTTCGTCTGCATTTGTTTTTTTTGGTGGGAGGATATTTATGAGTTAAATTGTACACGTCATTATCATATAAAACTTTCGTTTCCCATTCGCATTCTGAAATTTTTGGGGTATGCTCCACTCGAATTTGCGAAGTGCCACGCTGATTACTGAGATTCGAAATTCTGATTCACTCTTTCACTATTAATACTAAGGTTATTTCGAATACATTTAATGATGTAACATAACTAAATTTGTCTAAGCGCAATGAATCGTACTTTATTTTTCCAATATACTCGAAATACCTTTATTTTGTGCTCTATTAAGTAGCTTGCACCTTTCTTTGAAAATCGTGATTTCATTCATCGATGTTTGCGTCAAGAGATGAAATATTTCGTATATTCTTGATTGCCCCCAATAAGCGGTTCGGAATAGCGACGACGTAGCAAAATTTCTGATTTGTTCAACCGAAGCCTTAGCCTCATAATGAGCGCGTCGTTGTTTGCGAAACGCTACTTATAATTTCTCGAAGTACATTCGTCGTTGTTATTTACGGTATTCTGGAACATACATTGTTTTATAAGTGCCAGCTATGTTAATTCTTTTTGTTCACGCGATTACTGCGGCCCCCACGTTATTGTGTTCTAAATAAACAACCACGATACATTTTGTCGTCGTGATGTGGGCAGCGCGATGGCTTGTTTTGTTTGTAAGACTAGCATGTTTTGTAATTGGGAATACTAAACATTCTATCACATAGGTATGGATAATTATGGATATGCATGTGTATCGCATAGAATCGTAGTCAAGCAACGCGTAATTTTCATAACAATGTAGCTTGACGCGTCGAGGAAGTGCGTTAGTCATGTGAAATGCCATAGCGATCAATGTTATTTTCTAGATAAATGTCGTATTCATTGTGACTTGAGACCCGAAATCGTGTTTGCTAAAGGCTAAACGCTTTGACACTTTTCTCCCGTATAACTACGTCATTAATGACTAACTACGCATCCAAAATGTAGCCAAAATGTTAGGCCGCGGTTCACGTAACAGCATAAAAAAATAATGAAAGACGCTTGCAATGAGAAGGTCTGTATACGGAAGTATGGATGTTTCAAGTAAACCGTCTGGTTTTTAAGACTATGCTTGACTGAAATCCGACATCTCAGGAACGACCATTTTCACACGGGAAGAACAGTTGCCGATATTACTAACATCGCGCGCTATATCTATTCGTAACATCGTGAAATTACTTATGCATCGTACATATATTATGCGCGAAGAGTATAAATAATTATTGAAAACCTATAATGTATGTGGGCTTTTGTTTATTGTTGAGAAGGTTTTATTTGGCGAAGTATAAATATAGCTTTGCAAACCCTCTTCATAACTTTCGATTTATTTACCTTACCAACACATAAAAGCATTCGTTAAACTAATTTGTAACTATAGCACCGACCAAATATATGTGATATATATATATATTATATATATATAGGTATATTATATGCTGAATTAACAGTTTGATGACCGAGTATGGGTACATCCGCATCGAGAGCGTAAACCAAGCCCTTGCAAATAAGGCCCGTCTATATTGCATACTAGATAAATCCCTGGCATTTCAACATCGTATGTCATTGATGCGAAAATTCTAGAATGTATAAACGTTTGTTCGTTGTGCAATCAAAGATCATTTTCTTTCTTGTAAATATTTATGAGATAGTAACATGAAAATTATTATGTGTTAAGACATACTGTAGCAATAGACGATATCATGGCGAAAAAAGCATGCAGTTTGGATATTTATAATCGGCACGTTGTCAAAACGAGTGAATAAAGTTCAGTAGCGATCCCAATTTTTACGATAATGAAAATCCAAACGCGAAATTTTGCTTTCATTATTCATACAAAGGCGAGTGTATCACGTTACAGTCATATTTTCGCACGCGAAATGCTGAAATGATATCAAAAAATTTACCTTGATAACAAAGCAAGACAAGGAGAATCTTTTTGATTTTGTCCAATAGCTGGGTAACGTTTGCACGTTTGTATTATAGTGTGGAGGCAAACCTTTCTTCGGTTACATCAATGTACACGTAATGTACTCCGTTAGGTTTCTTCCACAATGCCAAACTACGTTGAATTGCTGCAGACAATTAGACAAAGATGAAGCGAATATACGGGTCCGCCAGGAATATATGCTTTCGTGTTAGATGCTTTTTTCACAATGAACAATGCGTATTACAATGTACATTTATATAATAAGTACGTTATATATACATACATATATAATGGGGGTATTGCGTATTTCCGGAATGTTCTAGACAAAAACGTTGCATCGTGCTGACTGTCGCTAAATGTTTCTTTTGTATTTCATGTTGCAACTGAAATTCCAAACCTACACTTTGCAATTACTTGATGACACCAGTAAAATATTATCGGCAAAGTCATTTGCCGTATCATGCAATAGTTTGGAAATTTTTAAAGCGATCATGTTAATGATGTAAATCTATTTTACCTTATATAGAAATGTCTAATTTAATGCTCCAATAGTCCTGTTCTTTCTGTTTCTATTTCATCACGCGCTACTATACATGGGAGCCTCGCTTTTTATCAATAGTCAAGCATCGTTTTTTTTTTCATCATTATTACAAATGTTAAGGGAAGATGAGACGGATATTAATGGCATCGTTGAAATTTCGTGAATTACTTGACAAACTTGAGGATGAAAGCTTGCATTTTGACGTATTGTTAGATGGGTGTGTTCTTGCAGCGTGAGATCCATTTAATATTGCTCTTAGGAAGAGTAAACAATACATCATTTTTCTACGCACGCGTCACGAATGACGTTGCATTTTCTTGCAATACTTGACGTCTCACTGTGATCTGTTCATTTTAAACTGTTGCGTTTTCACTTTTTTTTGTTATTATTATAAAGCGAGGAGGTTCGATTCTTAGATATGATTGTCAACCATAATCGTGATGCATTTTTAAACGTCCATTTGCACTCTTAAAGATCGATAAAGGAAATTAGATGTGATGATATACGCAGCCTAGGTTTGTGGTGTAGTTCATTGGCCCTGGAAAGCTTTTGAATTTTTTTCTAAATCTAGAATTTACCGGTGCAAAGTTCACGCTGTGATGCCCTTTGAAACGTCGTATTCCGATTTATAAAGCGGCCAGCATTAGCTTCTGATTTGAGTGGAGTATTAGATTCGTTATTTTTCGCCTTTTTTGTTTATGTTGTGTCGTCATTTAACACATATACATGCATGTAAAATATGACAAAAAACAAGTCATTTCGTTCGCACGCAAATTTACAGCAAATTTTTAGTGAATGAAAATTCAAAGGAGTAACTGATGTTTTTATTTTATGCCATATATTTCATACGTTTATCTTAAGGATTGAACAATCTATAACTACATGATGATGCATGTTTGCGCAAGCTTCTGATTTCAAAGCAAAAATCTACTTATGTAATATTCATGTCGTTATAACTAAGCAGCACCATAAACTGCTTACGATATATTCAATTCACAATCAGACTTCGTGCGTGAACCTCACTCTCAAAAGTTAGATAAATATATAAAAATTCCTCGACCGTTTATTTGGTTAAAAGCGCCACCTGAAGTTACGCATACAAATGGAATATTTTTTCGGTCGCGCGAATTGTTTTCAAGATGTTTAATTTCCTTTCTGTTGATAAAATGTTCGAGTTCGATAGCCTCCTAAAGTTCAGACTGATAAAAATAGAATAGACTAACTTACCGATTGTCATCAAGTCGAGGTATTTCACGTATGTAAGATACATACATCATTTATAAGAATCAAACTACGTATAAAATGATTAGCTAAATCCCGTATTGTCCGTGTACTTTATCATCACACACTACATTGCAACATATGTTAGTCGCAAAGAAAAGATTTAAAATTATTGCCATCGTTAATTGGCTACAGAGCGGCAGCGCCCGAAGGTGTCAATCTATGAACTTGGCATTCGTGTGCGAGTAGCGAAAAGAATCGACCTGTAGCCTGTGGTTGTATTTTTTTTTTGCCAGCAGGTCCATACTCGCGCAAAGTTGATCATCTTTGTGAAATTTAACATGGAACATGGAGACTATATAAACTAAAGAACTTTTACCTTGTAATCTTTGATCCTACATAGACGTCAGGTCGCAACGTGTCTCAAATTTAAAGTATCAGGCTCGCATCTTTATATACAAATTACATCCCCATATATACATAAATGTGATTCATTTCTACGTATATTATATTTGTGTGCATTTATTAATTAATTATACGTATATTTAGGGATGAACAAAGCCATATATATACATGTGGAAAATAATGTTAGTATTGCTGATTTTGCTTAAGTCATTTCCGATATACGCCATGTGATTTTACTATTGCCTTGTCGTCTTTGAACATTGAATTGTATTTAATAAAACTAAAGATCATTCCTATGCATTGAAGACTATTGGCATGGCATCACCCCATGCAGAGAGACCAAACCTTCTAGTCAATAACTCCTTTGTTAAAAAATGCTGAACTCATTTATATAATTGTCAGACATATTGCTCATCAGCAGTCAGCAGATCTAACTCTCGTCAGATCTTTAAATACGGTTCTCATGCGTTTGTAAATTTACGGACGATGAAAGAGTTTTTAAAAACAGCGACTACGCTTTGTTTTCATGTAGGAGAACGTTCAAGATTGAACAAAAATAACAAAATTGTTCGATGTGTCGAAATTTTTCTATTCAGTGGAGCGTTGTCGTGTCGCAATATAATCATATATTACAGTTTTTTTTTGCGAAATATAAAATTGATGAGCTGAATCATGACGACATGTTTTTTGCCAGGAAAATTACATCCTTTTCAGCGAAGTAAACCACGTAGCTACAAGTATAGAACGATAACAAGAATGTTTTCGTTCGCCTTTGTTCACGCAATATGAAAGTCAATTTCAAAGACTATTTTCATAAATAGTTGGACGAAGTTGTGTTCGTCCCACATTCATGCAGGCGTGCGGAGTTCTGCCTTAGATATTTATTTGAATCTTGTGGCTGCGAAAGTCATGTTGCCGTTCAGCTCAATTTCATGACAACGTTGAAAATATAATTTCTATTTCAACACACAATCGTTTTTAAAGTTTATACAACCTTCCGTGATATTCATCTGTGCAACCTTGCTCTTTTGCGATCTGCTGTCAGCCAAGTGTATATAGTTACGCAATTGAATCGCTGTCGGAGAACAGGCTTCCGAAACTCGGCGTTTTAAATGTTCAAGATCGTAATCTCACAACCAATTTTTTCATAGTCGCTTTTTGAGGAACTTGTTGCTGCTTGCCCGGACATGAGAACAAGCATGTATTGTGCGTAGCTTTTTTATATTTATATGTACGTTACGACTTCCTCGATGATATTTCTTCCTTGTTTTGTATAAGTTTATAAAATTATATAAGCCAAAGGTCGCTGCATGTTTTTTGCCTTCAACTGTGTGTTTTTGGAAATTTATGTTAAAAATCCATCTTTTGCCCTTCACAGCAAATATGAGTTTAGTGGCTTTAAAGTTGGTTTGTGGTTTGATGTAATGACGCACTCTCGCTTGTTACGATGTGCTCGCAAGGACAGTAATTGCTTAATCAGCAGCTTTAAGATCTTTCATAATTGTGATTTGTTCTTCTTCTTTCGCTATGTTTTTCTTCTTCTCGTGCAGTGCGGAGTATTATAATCGAAATTCGTTTTGCTATCGTGACAGTAGTTATATGTATGCTATGCATGGCACGCATTTTATATGAGAATTAAGTATATTGGATGAAACAGCCTGTATTGTGGAAATTTTAGTAAGATTTTTCTTTTTATAAGTGATCGTTTATTTCTCGAAACAAAGCGTCTCCAGTCGAGATATTTCAGTATAATTTTTGCTTTAGATTTCTTTACTGATGATGTATATATAAATGAATACGTAGTTCGAGTCAGCTTCACATAATTATACGTGAAATTTTTGTACATGTGTATATTCCTCTCAAATATTTACACCATTGAAGGTCTCTGTGTGATGTATGGATGCCAGTGGACATATATAGGAATACTTGTAAACTTACGCTCGCTCAATTGTTATGTACGTTTGCTCTGTGATAATTTTATTCAAGAACAAGGCAAAGACTTACTAATAACTGATAATTATAGCTTGCTAAAGCTTTTTGTCTTTTTGACAAGGATTTGGTAGAGTTATCGAACAACGATAATTCAAGTGGTCAAAGTTGAAAGAAAAAAACGGTTCGCGGCATGGCGGTTAAAATATGTCTATATTCGCGTCGAAAAAGCGCTCTGAATATTTCCGTTGGCATGTAGTGGGGAACCGTAATTTATTAAAATTCTACATAGATTTAACCTGTATAAACTTTTATTGGGGGAAACGTGGTATAATATTGATGTTGTAATAGAACTTTGACGTGGTAAGCATCTAAATGTTTACATACTTACTGTCGACTTTCTCGACGATTTTTCTCTTTTGAATTGTTCGTGGCTCGAATAATTGACGATTTTTCGCGATAAGAATGCAGCCAATTTAAGAGTCTTGTACATATGACTCGCTCGATTGTAATCCCCGTTGGTTTACACGTAAAAATTGTAAGTATCCAATAGTTCTCCCCATTAGACTGTCATTTAATTTAACTTGTGTTGTTTAATGTTCACATTCTCTGACAATAAATGAGCATCCGTTGGCTTTAGGTCAAAAATAGTTGCACGAATGCCAATAGTAATGCTTTGTTATGAAACGCGGGACTGCATTACATTTGCCAAAGCGCGGAGTGAAAAATATCCGAATCATTAAATATCTGAAGCGCGTAGACCAGTTTGTTTTACATAAGTTTTTCACGCGTAATTGGGATTTTACTGTGTCTTTTCAACCTTTTAGTAAATTTCATCGTCATTGTCCTTACTTGCCAATTTGTCAATCTTCATTACTAGTGGGATGAAGCCAACGTGTTCGCGTCTTCATTAGTGTGTGGTTCATGTAATCAAGTGAACATTGTACTGATACTTTCGTGCATGCCTAAAGGGGGCACTGTTCATTGCCCAGAAACTTTAATATCCATGTTGTGTTTATTCTCACGAAACGAACTACACTTGTTGTTGTATGTTAAAGTGTACGAGTGAAGAGATTTTTTGTTGTAAGATGGTATTTTTACATAATTTGGTATGACAATTTTTTGTTTTATGACAGAGGGCAAATGAAGAAATGCATCGGTCGTTTATCAAACACGATTTTTTTAACTTTGAAAGAAATGCAAAAGTTGAATAAACGTTTCTTTGTTTCAAACACAGTTAGTTTCCATGACAGCAAATACCTCATAAAGGTTTATTTAGGACACGTGTATACTTGTCCAGTCGTTTGCATTGTGTGCAAATGCGTTAGGCAAAGCTATTAATCCGATTTCTCTATTTGTATTGAACGACAAAAAATTTGTTCAAAGTGTAAGTGTCGACACACCTATGTCGGTAGTCTTGATTGATTTTGGACCATATGCATGCATACCGCCTGTATGATGATGTAACTGTAGCCTACTGTCTGGTGTTATCTATGGGTTAAATATACTTCACAGTGTAAAATAAGTAGCCATTATTGCCATATATGATACAGCAATCGTGGTCTTCAAATCACGTGAATATCACGACTAAATTAGGTATTGTTTCACTTTCGGCTTTGCTTTCACTCCTCGGAGACAATGTCGCAAGATGAAGCAATAAAATAACCACACACAAAACGAAATGAATAGCCGACATAACAATACCGAGGCGCCGTGATTGCTGTCTTGTTATCATGGGCTTGTCTTTGCAATCTTTGTTTGTGATTACCACATGAATATACAGTAGATCGTCTTTTCTACTTAAAATACCAACCCCACTCGTCCCAGTGTCAGATTGACTGCACTAGACGCGAAAGTCTATTATTACTGTAATTGATGTTGTAAAGGTCAATGTCAGAGATAAAAACGGCCTCATGTATAGGTGTTGCACAATAAAGATATTTCTTAATCCACTCTGTATGTTATGTCTATATGTTGGTATGATCATCGAAGGACGATTTTTTTGGAAAATTTTTATTAAATTTTATAAGTAGATAGAGTTATTCACGAACGGTTAACAAGTACTTGTTTTTTCAAGCCCCGGAGTCATTTGTGTGGCCATAGTACATTTTTTTCAAAATGTTTTGAAAATGCCTGCAATCTTAATTTGGTAATCGTTCAAGGTTAGCCGACTTAATCGGCTATATAGTTATGTTAATTACGCTTTATTCCATACCTCCGCGTACATTATGAATAGTTTACATTCATGAACTGACTCGTGTGTTGATTTGCATGCCAAAATTTCATTGTGTGAATTTAAATTACAAGAATGACTTGCACGCAGCGTTTGAGAAAATTTAAAGAATTCTTGCGCGCATTTGCGTCTTATCACTTGAGACATTTCAAGAAGCTAAATGAAACGCCTGCTTGCTTATCTTGATGTTCTTGAAAATTTCGAAGCGTTTTATTAATGCTGAGGTTACTTCATTGTAAGATAGCGCGAAATACGTGCGAAGATATTTGATGAACAATACATTTGATGAACAAGACTATGTACGGAGCAAGAAGAGTTCTATTGTGTGAGTTTGCGAATTAGATTCTCATGTGACGTTTTTGATTCTCAATTTTAAGTTTCCTGTTTCTCAATCTCCGGAACAAGGCAAGGATATTGAGTAGTCGTGTCGATGCGTCATTCTCTCTTACTCGTTCACTTTCTGTCATGCTCTAATGGCACATCCGTGACGTTTGCCAACCGCACAAACAGTATTCCAATACAAAGGCATAGTTATTTTATGACGATAAAGCTGTATTTGATTCGGTCTTTGTTCAGTTGGTAGACTTTCCTAGCACTGTAGCCCCATTTTATTTCCTAGCCACTGTAGCCCCATTTTATTTCCTAGCCGCTGTAGCCCTAGTTGGTTGACTTTCCTAGCCATAGTTTATTGTAATGGACTTGTTAATGGTAGTTGTAAGACACAGTTTGTCTTGCACTGTTGATCTTATCGCTGATCGTGCCTGGCATTTTATTGCATAATCTTAGGATATGAAACTTACAAAGGATTACGAAAGGAATGTATGGCATTTCAGCTCTTTATGAAAAGCGCTTCAACTTGCTGTCAATGGTGAATAAGGGGCGTTGCGTGTCTTCGCTTGTTCTATGACGCAAGTCCTAAGAGAATGAAAAGATTTTGTTTTGTGGGGAAGCGTGTTGTTTCCGAGCCGTGCTTCCTTGTTTGGCTGGCAACCTTCCAGACGTTTTAACACACAATTCAGTTACTTCCTATTACAATATTTTTCATGCGCATTGTTTCTGTGTACCAGTACCAAAATATTACACATCGAGCTTATAGGCTTCCTTCTTTCTTTGCCTTGTATGATTAAACGCATTTTGTATCTTTCGCATCGGTTTTATGCCAATGGCTAAAATATGATTTTGCCCTTAAGAGTTGGTGCTGAATGAGATGCAAAATATTATAGCTAGAACAATAGAGCGGTAATGTACGATGAGTGCTGGTATTGTTGAAATGTAGCAAACAGACTTTGTGCTCTTTTCTCGATATTTTAAGCCTCGCTAAACGCATGAAAATCATACGACTATCGACTGTTTTGCTTGCCATTGCAAAATCGTACCGGGCATGCGATACCCATGTGCATGTGATCGTAGGAAGTAATGGTGTTTCTATAAATATATTACTCCTAGCTTGCATTATGCAAAGTCAATATAGTGCACGGCGCGATTTATGCGGTCAGTATAATGAAAGTTGCAATATCGTGAATTATGGAGAATATTCGGTAGAATTTATTGCAATTATCAGTAAATATCATTGTCATCAACTTCAATATACATAAATATCCTCATGTGCACAGCGGATTTTAACCGTTCACTGATGTACATTTATAAAAATAAATGTAACGAAAGAACATCGAAGCGGTTAATTTCATTTTATTTCAAAACGGAGAAAAACTTATGGCAAACGTCCGAAGCAGATATCTTTGTTCTACTATTTCATCGAAAATAGTTAAAATTTTGATCGATCGAAAGAAACGGGGACTTCGCTTGCTGTGTTGATTAATAACTGTTCGCCATTTTTGACAACTACGCGCGCACGGAAAAGCCTGCGATTTCTCTTTTTTGTCGGTGTGCTACTTATATAGTATAGGGCATGCATAGCTAAGGGTGTAAGAACTATATGTCAGCCTCACCTCGCAACGTTGCTGTTGGAACCATCCTCATTTTCGTTGTGTTGAACCATAATCTTCTCTTGTGTATTTGAGCTATTGTTTCTGTCTTCGCTTTTGATGATGAGATTTCTTTCTGGTAAACCCTGCAACGGACTCGTTTCTCTTCTATTTTGAAAATCTTCAGGGTTCGAAATATGCACACTTCTTCTATCGTCTTCGTGAAGTTGAGGAGGCGAGTTGGTATTCAATACAATACAACCCTCCCGTTCCACCATTACCGTTTCACTCCTGCGCAATTTTTTCTTTTGCGGTAACCACACTGTCTCTCTACAGGTTAGGGAAAAAACTGAATGCTTTGAAGTGCACAAAAGGTCGTGTTTATATATACACCACGGCATCATAAGATTATTAATAATTAATAATAAATCGTCATGAAGCGGAACAAAACATATACGAGCAAGAAATGCTTAAAGCACCCTCAAGTGGTCTCTATCCACCCACATTTGCGTATACCTCTTTTTAATAGAGTTGTTTCAACCCAGACGAGCGTTAGCAAATGTAATCGTAAAAATATTTCAACTTGTACGGATCAGATAACATTTCGTGCCAGTCGTCCCCCTTTATCTTTGTCGTATTGCGAAATTAGTCAAGTGTCGTCATTATAGACATTGGAAATTACTACGTTACTGTTAGGGCAGATAGAGGGATGAAATCGGATCGCATCATGTTTAACGCTGTAATTGTACTAATTAGAACGACGCATTCGCGTTGAATAAGTCCATTTAAGGATGAGAGCGAGAAATGATTCATTGTGGTCGGAATTTTCTTATTTTCTTGCGTGCTGGCTTGATGGCTCTTCGAGTGTTATATTGCACAAGTGAAAATGGATATTTGGTTATAACTTGAGTGTAAACAAATAACAAAATAGCGAATGTTTCACTTTAGGTAAAGATCTATCGAAGAACAGCCCTAGATTGAGCATTAGTGCATACATCCAGTGGCAAAATGTAAAGACAATCAATATCTTGATACAAATGTCATATGCCCTAATAAAAAACAAACGTCTAGAATATTATAGAGATGTGCAATCAAAGGGATTGACACGATTTTTGAGGCAATTTCGCAATTTGCAATTGACATGCAGCCATGCAACGTTAAGATTAAAGCGTCTTTGACATAGTAAGGACAAACTGTTTTGTCGCAATTTCCTAATTTCAAGAGCGAAATTTCGAGGACATCTACAATTGCAAACAAATTTTTACGACGATAGTAGTCATTCAAACGAATCACATCCCATCTACTATTCCTGTATTAGATTACTCTATTCATGCGACGTACGTCTACAGCGGGTCAGCGAAGCCACAAAGCAACCACAACGTGGTCTGTTTTGGTGTTTCTGCTTGATGGCCGTCAGAATGTGAAAAATGTTGAAGTTTTTAAGCCGTGTTTGGTTTTCTCAAAGCCAATGTAGTACGTACTTGTTTTTTCTAAAATTACTCTTAACATTTTCGGGTTGCCATATTCTCAAATTGTTGGGAGATGTGGGTGGCCTACGTTGACAATCTGCTGCAAACATGTTGATTAACGAATGGACACATTGGTCAGAGACATGTTGCTTGTGGTGAATAGTGCAGCTTGCGTTTTTGCCGTTTGGCGAGGTCAATTTCGGCTGAGGGTAGGGTTAACTCTAATTCACAGCGTGCCCACCAAAATGTTGCAAGTCGCGGTTTATGTTTCAGGTCAAATTATGTCCTCGCAAAGACATGTTAACCATTTAGACCTTTCTGTATGAGTAAATTTA